CCCCCCCCCCCCCAAAAAAAAACCCGCCTCCCCCCCCCCCCCCCCCCAAAAACCTGAAGGCCCCCCCCCGGGGGGAAAATTTTTAAAAAAAACCCGGGGGGGGGGGGGTGACACCACGAGTTTACCGCACCGGGTGACACCAACCCTAGCTACGCGACTGGTTGGTCGAAAATGCAACCTTCCATATATTTTTGTTTTATAATTTATATGGTCAACAGTTTACATAAAATAATAAGGGTCAGTAAATGGTCATCCATAAATGACGTCATGCATCTATAGAAAAAAAAGGGGTGCGGTGGGCTGGCACATCTCTGTGACGAGATTTTATGAGGATGTCCACTAGGGTTTCTCATTTCCAGAGGTTTTGCTCAATCTGGTGAAAAGTGAATAACGTTTTTCTCATCCAGCGATTTAATTTTATCAAAATTTATATTATAAACTGTATTAAATTATAAAAAAAGTTAATTTTTTACAATTGTTTCATTTTTATTGTTTATGACTGAATAAAAAAATATTTAAACTGTAAATTGTTGTATTATGAAAAACAATAGTAATATTTATAGAAAACTCTTGAGTTTAATTCCACGCTGAACTGGCCAGGGGAAAGGCGAGGGTGAATTTGGATTCCTCCACTCAAGGGGATAGACGCCCGTGTATATCTATCTTTGTGTTGATTTTGGAAAAAAACAACAAAAAACAACAACTACATAATATAAAGGTATTTGGACACATTAGCATCTCGGGATAATCAAAATCAAGTTACTAGACTGAGAAGGGGTTGCCAGCCCATGGGACCTCAAATGGGGCTGCGAAGGAAGTTAAGTGGGATCGCCGGTTGAAACAGTAGAGCGTTGCTAACATATTGGTGCCAATAAGTTTGTGCCAATAGATTGGATATGAGGCAAATGAAATTGAGAAAATAAGAAGCTGGGACCGACATGAGGATGGAAGACTACATAAGACAAGTAGATCTCGGAGAACACTATATTCTATATTCTAGGTATAATGTTAAAATTATATCGAGAACACCATGTGAAATAACATCTGAATAAATTGTTATGTGGAAGTCCTTAAATTTGACACTTTCTTAGGTAATACTCTGTCAAAATAGTCTAGGACTGAAAAAAAAAAAAAGAAATATTTAAGACAAAACAAACTTAACAAAAACTTTGTAAGTTGTCAAAATTTTAATTTATAATTATTTCAGTAATTTACAGAATGTTATTTTAAATCAGTTAGCCAATTTGCTTACACAAATTAAAATTATACAGAACATTAATACAAACCAGTTTAATTGAATACAATAGGATAAATGCAGTGACCAGCTGAAAGGTCAATTAAGACAGTGCATGTTTCTTTCATTTGTATTTTTTGACTAATCTAGTAAATTACCTTTGACTAAAAATACTTTGACCCTTCATAATTGACCTCACCTACATGAGATAAGTAATGAAAACATAAAAGATCAAGCAAAGTATGAAACAATGTATCAGATACCAAGCAAAGTCCCAACAATTTATCGAAATCTGATCACCTGGCAAGATGTCTGACTCTTCAGATCCAGCTAATATTTAGGTGATGGCTCCACCCCTCAACACTAACTCTACCCTTAATGCAGTGTTTTCAAACATAGTAAGCTCCACAGTGAGGCAATTTGAAGACTAATTAATGAGAGGAATTGTATCTCCAAGTGTGAGATAGGATATGTTTCTTCAAAAAGGGAGCGGGGTGTTGGGATGTTAGACAGTACACTTTAAAAAAAAAAAAAAAAAGCACTTTAATGCAACACAACTATTTTTCACAGATTTGTGGAACAGCCTTTAATCTGGAATTGAAATCCTATTGTTCAACAGCAGCATGGAGATATTTTTTAATTCTACCACTAGGTTTTGAGGAGGGTGTTGGACTAGAGCATTCAACCTATTTAAGCGCTAAAATAGGACTATGGGGAAAAAAAAATATTGAGAAACACTGCCTTAGTGCATTAAATCTACAATAGTATTCAGAGAAGAGGGGGGAGGAGTACCATTATAACTCATAGATGTAACAATAACAGATCTACATATCGCAACAACAACAAAAAAAATTAATTGACTTCTGCTCATTACTTATTCTGCCCTGGCCAATTTTAATTTCATTGAAATGTATGTGATTAAGATTTTTAAAATAACTGACAACCAAATTTCTATGGCACTACCCGAAACTATGCTTTTATCTCAGTTTATGACCACTGCTTTAATTTGTTCTATAGAATACCAACTAGAAATCTGCCCAGTAGATTAATAGCAAATAAAATAGTTTTAAAAGCAAAATCAATGATATGTTTATCAGAAAAATCACAACCTTTTTCATTTATATAAATAGAAAAGAAAAGCATAAGAAACAAGAAAGAATAAAACGGGAATGAAAATTTCTTGTACTTCATTTTGTTGTTTTTTGGAGTGAACATTATAAAAAAAAAGAAAAAAAAGAAAACAATTTAAAAGATTATAGAAAAAATCCTCTCCCACAAAAATGTCTCCAAAGAAAGCACCATAAAATTTTATTTTATTTAGTAAGAGCTTAGTAAGATTCATAAATGTTTTAAATGTCCCAATTTTTAAGGTACAGAAAAAAGTTTCTTTGGTATGCAAACCTGTATACAATAATAAAAATTGTAAAAATGGAAACAGTTGTTTTTTTCTTTTAAACAAAAAATAACACAAACATGCACAACTTCAATTAGCAAATCATATTTTTAAACTACTTTATACATTTTGATTGATTAATTTTGATTTTAATGAACATAATGTACTACTACTACTGAGAAATTTAAGTCACTAAACTAAAATCATCATTTAATCTGAAATGAAATTTAAAAGCTCAATTTTTATGTTTCTGATATATGTTAAGTACTACAGTACAAGTCACTGCACATATAAATATATATATATATATATATATAAAATAAATGTATTTTAGTAAGTACAGGTCAAAATAGTTAAATGCCCCAAGAAAATAGATCATCACTTCCAAACTTATGTTAAAAATATACTACATTTCAAACCAAACATATTTCAAACAGCTGTATTTGATATGAGGCTGCACATATAGTGGCTCTTTGCGACACATCAGTGAATTTAATTAAAATCCCAATGAACGTTATTTTAAGCTTGACAAAATTAAACACATACATTAGTCTGTATTACAATTATTTTCATCAAAGTTTCTCTCGGTCTTACAGAAAGATAAAAGTGGTAATATGTTATAAAACTTAACATATAGTCTAAAGGCACTGAGGTATAATGAAGCTGAAATGGAAATGATAAAAACAATGACTGAAGATGTAAATCAGATCTTTACAAAAAGAATTAAATTTGGGTGCACCCAAATACAAGTGGCTCATCAACATCAAATAATTTTTTTATATAATGGCTGTACTACTTATAGAATCACATCAATTATCTGTATTTAGGTGTAAAATGTTGCGTTTATCTAAGAATTGGGTAAATGCGGTGAGGACCAAAACGTTTACGATTTTTCAGTCTCATGATATGAAGGCAATGATGATGTACAAACAGTTTAAAATGCAAATCATGAATTAATTTAATGAAATAAAGATTTCCATCATCCTCTAGGACCACATTAGAATACTGCTCACAAATGGCCAGTTGCCAAGATATTGTCAATATCAGCATCATCCGGAACATTCCAACAAATGAAAACTTTCCAGTCCTGCAATGTTCAGTGGATATGATCATCATAGGTGCTAGTTATTGACAACTGACACTGACTGGTGGAGTCCATCACTACTTTTGTCTGTCTTTGTTGAGTGGTGTTTATCTGGGTTATCAGCAAAGGCACTATCAGAACATCTTAAGCACCTGGAGAGCAATAACATAGCAGCATAATTTATTATTTCTTTTAAAATTGTTCCTCTGTAAAAGTTATTCTGTAACACAACACATAGCACCATCTGAGGTTACAGTAATTTAAAATCATTTTCAAGCCTTTAAAATAAAGTTGTAAAATTATGAATGCCCAGTTATCCTTTATAGTTGGTATTTTTCACAACTCAATTAATGGTTTAAAGCATTGGTTCTCAAAGTAGGCAGTACGGATCACCAGTGGACATTGAGATTGCCTAGGAAGGTGCTGAAAGCCTCATTAGTTTTTAGGGGGGTGGGGGCTGTGTTTTCAAAAGGGGCCACTTTTAAATCAGAGACATCTGCTAATGATGTACAACTGGAAAAATTTGAGAAACAATGGTTTAACTTAAGCTTGCTCTAAAAATAGTTTACAAAATTGCACTGGTTTGTAGGTACACATTTTACAAAACTTTTTAATAAATTGGTGATATCAGTTAAGAAAAAAAAAAGCTTACTTTGGTTCACTGAGACCATAGTCAAAGCAAGAATTTCCTACACATTCACAACAGCCATTAGAATGAAACCATCTGTATTTGGCAGCTCCCATTGATTTGCAAGATGCTTTGCATTTAGCCATTGGCATGCAGTCAGAGAAAAAAGCAACGGTGCAGTTTTTTATCCCTAAGAGCTGCCCTGTCTCAAATTCATTTGTCCTTGTACCCAAACCATCATCTTTACCTAAGAAAAAAGCAGATTCCATATTGCAACAACCATTCCTGAAACATGTTACTGTACCAGTGTATCTTTTTGTTTTCTTGGCGTGATTATCTTGAAAATTAAAAAGTTATTTTTTTTTTTAAAAATGGGTAGGTTAATGCTAAAAGAATTTGACAATTCCCTAATGTCTTTTTAAAATATTTTTTTTACTTTTATACTACAAAGTTTAGAAATAAAACAACTTTAGACATCTATTATGCATTGTGAAAAGAGAAAATCTGTAGCAGTAGGATGACAATCAAGGATATTTATTTTTATACAGAATACAAAGTGTAGAAATTGCAACAACAGCTGCTAATCAAACAGTGCTTTACACTTGTATTGGCTTGGAATCTCTCATAGTAAACATATTAATGTTTTTAATCTTTTTGTTTCCCTTTTTTAATTTGTTGGAAAAAACCACTGCACACCTGTTTATATTTAAAAAGTCCTTTTTACCTAGAGTTATTTGTTGAGCCTCCATCCCAGGTTTTTTCCCTGACTGCATGATGAGCTTGTCCAAATCAACAGCGTATGTAAATGTTGTCCATCTTTGTTCACGATCTTCCTCATCTGTGAGTACCTTGAATAGGTCAGGAATGGGGTCAGAGATCTCTTCAACTGAACTACTTCTTGCCATGTCATCTTCTGGATCAGGCTTATCACACAGACCTTTTATTGAATGATTTGTACAAATTGATGAAATAACTTTTTTTTAAATGTTTTAATTAAAATTTTATATAAAGCATAATATAACTTTAAACTTCATACAATTGATTCAAAAGGTTAAGATTAACTAACAACATATTTAAGATGAATTTAACCATTTTTTAAATAAGTGAAAGCTATCTGTTGCATGTAAAATTTAATTTTTACATATTAAATTTAACCAAACAGCTTGATGCTTTCATAATTAAATACTAGGGAGTAAATAAACAATAGCTTACCAACACAAGAACAGCACTCTGTGTAGAGCTTTGACAAACAAATTTGGCAGTCATTACAACAAGAGCAATTAGCTTTAATTGCCATGTCACAGTCACAGCATTTGATAAGCATGCACTTGCTGACCAAAGGAGCACATACAGCCTCATTGCAAGCATCCAAAACATAAAAACTGGCCAAGGTGACGGCACAAAATAAGGCAGTTTTAACAAGTGGTTTCATTTTAATCTCCTGCGGGGAAAAAGAAAAAAAGTTAGAGCAAACATACAAGAGATGCATTTTTCTACTTAAAAGCTATACAGTTTCACGAAGGAGATTCAGACTGTTTTTAAACAAAGCTTATGCTAGACAAACAACACACAAATAGACAAATGGAGACTATACCATAGAATAAAAAAGAAATTAATACTAGAGATAGCCTCTGAAATTGAAGAGAAACAAAACTTACCAACAGACCCAGATAACTAGCAAATCATACCTAAATACTTATTAAAAAAAAAAAAAACATTTAAAAATTGCTTACATCAAGACAGACCTAATAGAAAAGATAGAAAAGTACTGACCCTTTAAAAACAATACTAGCTGCAGAAAAATAACCCTTTTATCCTAACCAGAGGATTTAATGTCTCCACCATGGCCAGTCCCAAGTTCAAATGCAAAAGGAGGAGATTTGGCATGAAATCAGCTAACTCACATGTAAAAAAAAAACTGCTTCAGAAACGTCAAGAAGAAAAAAAAAAACCCTTTCAGCCCTGATAAAAGAGGGCTCTTCTTCTCCAAGGAGAGTTATGAAGCCTTGAGGGCAGAGCCAGGTAATACTAGAAGCCTCAAAGCCAAGGACCCTCCTTTCAAAAGGCATGTGGAATGTTAGAAACATGTATGAGACAGGAACATCATATCAAATGGTGTCAGAAATGAGAATATACAAGCTCAACCTGCTCTGCATTTGTGAAACATGATGGACACAAGCCGGAAAGTTAACATTAACCTAGGGAGAAACACACACAGGGAGTTGCTTTCATGATGTCACAAGGGGCATTGGTAGGATGGGAAGCCCATGGTCCAAGAATTATTACAAAAAACATTCTGAACCAAGAAAAAGAAAATAAATATGAAATACAATGCTATGCCCCCATCAGCGCTAGTAAGATAAAAAGGAGCTCTCTACAATAGACTACAAACTATACTAGAAAAAATTTCTAGGTAGAGATCTAAATTTATTTATTTATTTATTTAGGCATTTTTATATAGCGCTTATCATAAAGCTCTAAGCGCTTTACAAATATTAAAACAAGTAAACTAAGTAAATACAAATGAGACACTAGGATAGTAACTACTATTCTATAGAAACAATGAAAATGGCTATAAAAAGAGGACACTTTGACACTTCAGGATTAAACCGAAACAGAAAATTAGGTAGGGCAAGGAGGGTGCATCACAGGTCATAGGCGGACCTAAACAGATGAGTTTTAAGGGACTTTTTGAAAATGGACGAGGTTTCACTATGACGTATATGGAAGGGGAGCTGGTTCCAGAACGTGGGCCCATGGAAGCAGAAGGAGCGTTCACCGATGGTCTTAGTTTTAGTTCTTGGGATTGAGAGGGTTCTACTGTCAATGGAAGAACGTAGTTGTCTTGTGGGGATGTAAGGAAGCAACAGTTCAGAGAGATAGACAGGAAAGTGAGGGTCAGTGAACGAGTTGAAGCAAAGATTGGAAGACTTGTATTTGATGCGAGAGGATATTGGAAGCCAGTGGAGTTGCCGCATGTGTGGTTGAATGTGGTCATGTTTCTTTAATTTAAAAATATCTTAATGGGAGATCTAAATGCTAAGATTGTGAAAGATCTAAGAGGATGTTAAGAAATTATAAGATGCCATGGTTTAGGAAAGAGAAATGAAAAATAGCAAAAGACAGGCAGACTTCTGCATGGCAAATGAGTCACTATTGGGGGGAGCTATTCCAGCATAAGAAAATCCACAAGGTAGCTTGGGTACCCCTGATAACAGTACAGAAAACCAAACTGACTGCATATGCATTAGCAAAAAATTCAGAAGGCTCTACAAGATGACGTGCTAAGAGAGGAGCTGAAGTTGCATCTGATCACATCTAGTTTGAGCAAGACTCAAGCTAAAATTGAAGAAAAACTGGGAAGAGCCAGCTGCTAGACAACTAGAATACAGCAAAACGACAGGTATTCAGTGTCACCAAAGATATATCACAATGAATGTGTGAACCACTAATGGGAGACAATTGAGATAATTACTATAGTGTATATAATACTGAAGTCTTCACAGCTTACCCCAGCTAACAAAGGCAAAGGAATTTTGTTATATTATCTGATAAAATCACCATTTCTGAAAATAAATACCTTCCCCACAACCTGTGCAGTTATGCTAACCTTACACTAGAAACCAGGACACCAAAATATACTGAGAAATAAAAGTGAAAACAAACTAGCAAAACAGGGAGCATACAATGAACAATGAAACATACCAACATCACTCAACACTTTGAAGCAGATTATCAGGGCTAACAAAAAAGAAGAGTGATTACATGTATGGGCTCAACAGGAAGATATGTCACATGCCCAGTCCAGAATCTAAGGATCCAATAAATGGCCTTCAAAGGCATCAACAGATCATAATAATGTGTCTTAACGCAGGAGACATACAACTTACTTTACTCTCATATTAACTGCAAAAACAAGGTAAACACATATGTGGCATCTAAATGACACAGTAAAACATCACCTTTTTCACTACCCAGCTCTTCAGGATTTAAGGCTTAACTATCTACCAAAATGACCAGACTACATCAACACCCTGTATAAATATACAAACAAAGAACAGATGTAGAGAGTGTGTAGGCCTAAATTCTTCACCATGGCCTCAGGCCGAAAGACACATGTACAAATGGCAATTGGATCTTGATGATAATGAAACAAAGCTTAAAATACCATCACAAAAACACCACTAAACTTAAAATTATAAAATTTGACAGTCAAAGCAAAAAGAGTGATAAGCTGTAACTGTAATAGCCTTCTCCTTGTAATGTTAAGCATTTTCAAGATAATATCCGTTTTCACTTAATAGAATTTAAAATTGAGGAATAAATTAAAGCCTTTTATTTTGTATAAGTTGACTATTCTGATAGGTGCAATTTTAATTATTTGACAATTCATCATTGTATAATGTCAGTCAGTGCATAAGGACCAAATAAAAAGAGAATAAATGATGTCAGGATTTGATCTAAACTAATTTTAATTAATCAACATAATTTAAAAATTATATTAACATTAGATTTTAAAATTAATTTCTTTTAATAGCAGTCTTTTAAAACACTTTTAAGAGGTGATGTTTTAATAATATTCACGTCATTCTACATTTAGTAAATAAGCAGCCTTATAATTTATATCTAAATTCTACTTTGCCCCAGAATATCGATATGGTAAAATAGTAAAATTCACACAAAAATGAAACAATAATAAACATTTGAATTATATTTTTTAATAATTATATTAGGACTGAAAAAGATCAGACATTAAATAAACAAATTGCCATCATAACTTAAGCGTTTTTAGCTCATTTTTATAAGATCTTTATATCTCAAAGAATCAACATTGATATTGATAATCATAACAATAACAAGGACAATTTCAGCCATTTGCTTTAGGCAGTGTCTACACGTCCTGCACACCAGACGTATATCTCCCGCACTATTTGTCCGGTGACCAAGTCACATGACCGCCATAACAAAGTGGTGAGAGATATTTGTCTGTCAGCCTTGTCACGTGACCGCAAATGATTCAAAACTATTGTTAATCTTAAAATCTATTTCTCTACCAAGTAATGTACTGAGTATCTTGCAAACTTATTATAGAAAAAAAATACTTGGGTATATTACCAAAACAAAGTGGGTATTAAGTAATGATGCATTCTAGAAGGAAGTAATGCTGAGAGGGAGAGAATTACGCTAATAAAAAATATGAATGCTAAAAAAGTAATAGTGAAGCTGATAAATAATTAAATTTAATGGCGTGGAGGCCGATAGTTTACAAAGAAATAGACCCTACCTCTTAATATAGGGCAGATATAGTGGTAGCCTAGCCTACTTCTCATGCAATACTAAATACTAATCCTGAAATACAACTTTATTGACATAGGTCTATTTGAAGTCTACTCGTATTATTTTATTTGGTTCATATTTTAAATTTAGGCTTCAAGGTAGAGCTTTACAAGATGTATTAACCAAGATTAGGTACTTTTTCCTTTGACTATGAAGAGTCTGAATCAAATAGACTAGTAATAGTAGCAGTAATAGTACTACTAGTTAGTATATAGGCCGACTAGTTTAATATTCAAAGTCAAACACTTTATGTACCTCAGAGCATTTGAATATATTAACATGTTCAGCATTTATTTATTATCTAGGGATCGGAATATCAATGTAGGTACTTTGACACAAAATTTAAATATTGTCAAATTGCCATGAATGATACATCATTTTAAAGGGCCAGCTATAAGCTTTACAACAACACCAATTTCATCTTTCTATCTTTTATAGAAGTGGAGTTATGATTTTTTTGGTGATTTTTAAACACCCCCTTCTTTATCTTAGTATTAAACTGAAAAAACATGTGACCCACTTTCAAAATTTCTGCCTTATTTTAACCAAAACTTTTTGATTTTAAAAGATAATGCTACCAAATTTTCAGGAGACATTCTCAATGCAATATACAGTATAATAAACAACAAAACTTTTATATAACATTAAGACTTTTATTTTTTTATAAATTTATTTGTGGGTATGTTCAGAAAAAAGTGAACAAAAAAATTGGGAAAATCAATATTTATGCAGGAAAAAACGAAAAAAAAACCTCACCATATGTCCATATTTATTATTATTTATTGAATTTTAATTAATTTTATTATGCTTGTGTTAATTTTAAATCAGTTATTATATTTATTAAAAGGTAAGTAGTCTTTTTTATTTATAAAATTGAAAGCATGGTAATTATAGATAAAAATTACTCAAATATCATCCATGATAATATGATAATGATGAGACTAATTCATTTAAAAAAATTATTTTATATATTAAATAATTGTCTATGTACTGCTTTTCTATGTCCTAATAAAAATATAATTGCTATGATGATGTTGTTTGAGTCTTGTTTATTAATTTGATGTATTTTAATAAAACTGTTATATTTAAATATATAGAACTTATAGTCTATACTTGTAAATTGTAATAGAATTAGTAAGAAAAATTAAGCTTAGGCCTAAATAGGATTATAATAACAGTTGTTTATAATTATAACTGATAATGATAAGTAGGCCTAATTTTAGTAATATTCTCTGAAATAATTAATAAGAGAAAAACGATTATTATTATCGATATTACTATGTAAAACTATTAAATATTGATTCAATAATGAATGAACGATAAACTGTGTACCGGTACCCTACACAATTTTTAACGTAATAAATAAAACTTAAAACCAACCCTTGGTTACTATATAAACTTTTCAAGTTTGCTTATAATCTTTTCTTAAAATGATTCATTTTAAGCGTCTTATAATTATTTAGATGTTTAAGGATTTAACATTAACGAATAACAGTGATAGCAGCCATTTCCGGCTTCTCGGTCAAAATAAAAAAAATAATGATAATTTCATACCCCCCACTTATTCGCGGGTGGCATAACTTTTTATCGAGACCTCAACGATAATAACTCAAAAAATGAAAAAACTCTTACAATGAATGTAGATTATGGAGCACTAAACCTTATTTTGGTGGCTTTACAAGTAAAAAAGTATTTATGCGATTTATATACCAACCGAGTCATCATAATAATACTGCCCGTGATGCAAAAAAAATATCGTAGCATAAATCAATATATGACCGGAACACAAAAACTGATACGTCAGTGATGAGGAACGCAATTATTTAATAAACAAAGGTGACGTAGTCTGCAATTTTCCAATGATACCGTGTTGCTGTACGCCATATTGCAGAACACGTTTTTTCGACATTTTAGGACATGCGCAGAACGGTGCGTGGACAAGTATTGTTATCCCTAATCAATGCAATGCAACTATTTTGCCGGCAACCACTTGTCACATAATCGGCCGGAATAATAACGCCTACCAGTCGTCCGGCGGTTACATGACATGGCCGCCGGACGTATATCTCCCACACTATTTGTCCGGCATGCCGGACGTGTAGAAACTTCGTTTGCTTTAGGCTTACTTATTAAAAGCACTGTTAAAAATATTAATAACACTAACACTGGCCAAAACATCCAGGTGCTAAAATCCAATATTTTATATTAAACAGACCTTGTCAACAATGTGGTGTTTTAAGCTGAAAGCTTGTGTTTAAAACCAAAATCATGGTAATAGGCTTAATAGGAAAGTTTGGTTCCAATCTTTTAACAAACTTCCTGACGACCGACTGTTAATGCATTTTCAATGTTGTCAGTTGTTTATGACATCTTCTACAAAAAGGGACACCTTGTAAAACTAGTTACCTGCTCCAATTTTTTTATGACTATGACTCTATAAATTATGAACTATGATCAAGCCTGTTAATATTAATAAGTGTTAACCCCAAACCCACATGATTTATTGATAGCAGAGAAAGTCCAATCTGAGTATCAGTATCAGTATCAGTAGTAGTATCACCATTTATTTTATTCTTTTTCATAAATAACACCACGCTGAAGGGGTAGGTACTACTAAATACTAACTAAAACTACTTATTACTACTACTACTAGATTACTAATATTAATATACTAGACTGACTAAGTAGACTACCTAGCCTAAGACTAAGAGTAGACAAGTAGATTCTAGATTCCCAAGAAATTTTATTTTAACAAAAAATAAATTACGATGTTGTTATTTCATTTGCTCAACTTGTCATCGTCAAACCAGCTAGTAGTACGTTTTGGTATTGACCAACAATTTTTGGTTCAATCATATGGGTAGCCATCATGATCATATGATGTTAAAAGTTATCAAAGTTTAAATAATAAAATCTAACCAGAGCAACAACTCCAATGATGAATAGATTGAGATAGCAGCCAACAACTTGTACTATTATTAGGGAAACCGGAAGCACAACAGCCCAACGATTATTCGCTCATGGTTTATGGAGAGTTAGAAAATTTAATTTACATGAACTTCAAACTTATAATACAAATGTCTTAAAGACCAAGACTTCCTTTATCTTTTTTTCCTTCTCGGTAAATGGAGTATAAAAAAAAAAGGTAAGACCAAAATTGACTTTAATACTTAATATCATCTCAATACACTTACTATCATATTATTTACATTTATTGTTCTTATTTAATGGTCTTTTTTTATTTATTAATATTATCAATCAATCTTAATATTTACTTGGGCCTTGGCCTTGGGCGTTTACTTTTACATTTTACTGGCTTTTAAAAAGTTAAAAAAAAAAAACAACAACTTTCACTTCAACTTAAGGACAAAAAGACATTTTTTGGGGTAAACTGCATAAGTATAAGTATCTACAGTCTTTTCACACTCGCATCAAATTTCAAATTACTTGCCATGAATGCATCAACATCACGAAACATGGGGTGACAATTCAATTACCATAACAACTGCCCCTAATTAACGACCTAACGTACAACAAATAAAAATAATATAAATGTAATAGTATAAATAGAATAGGCTGTCAATTCAATGGTACAGCCTAGAGGAAGATTATCCTTGCATAGCGCCAACTGAAGTGATTGGCACTGAATGTAAATAGATGGAAAGTGAGTGATTCTCTGAAAGTGAATTAAAACTTAAAAGTAATATTAAGATGAGTAATGATTCAGACTTAAAGACTATAACTATAAGTCTTATTAAAGACTTACTATTCCTACCTTATCGGCACTGAATGTAAATAGATGGAAAGTGAGTGATTCTCTGAAAGTGAATTAAAACTTAAAAGTAATATTAAGATGAGTAATGATTCAGACTTAAAGACTATAACTATAAGTCTTATTAAAGACTTACTATGCCTACCGTAGCCTGCTGTAGCTAGGGTTGGTGTCACCTGGTGCGGTAAACTCATGGTGTCAACCATCACCCCAACTTCCACAGTGGATTTGTTAATAAGTCCAGGGTATGACAAGAACAAAAACAAATTAATTGAAGGTCAGGAGGTAAATGTATTTTAAAGAACTGTAACAGCTTTAAGCTATAGTTATTTTTACACTATAGTATAGGCCTATTTACTTTATTTAAAATTTTCCTTTCCATGTTCTTCAAAGCTGCAAACCTGTCAATCACTTGATCAAAATGATATCAGAACCAGATCTGAAAGCCTTAACTGTCCCATAGTGGATCTTAAATAGTTCTTGATAAGCCTTAGTTTTCAAAAGCTCATCTCACATGAAGACACAGAGACACGGATCGCAAGAAACAACTGAAGGCTTAGCGAAAGTATTGGATATATTCTATTAAGTTCCATTAACTTATTAGTTTCATAGCATCAAATACTGAGCAGTCCATGAATTTGTGAAATTCAATATCAGCTGCCTTTAGGTGTCTTCTAACCCTTGGTATTTCTTTTAAAATTTCACTTTCTGATAATTCATCATAGAAAGAGGTTAATTTTGGAATGGACACCAATAAGTCCTCTTCACTTGCTGATAGTAGACTCATGGGTTGAACAGCCCCAAACCTATCTGCTACTTCCTTTATCGCTGAAAATCTGATCTGGAGTTCAGAATGAAAGCCATCAATGCACTCCATCATCCCCCTACTGTTTTCTTCTCGCAGAGAGTGAGAGAGATAGTTAAGCCTCTATTGATTGTTCTCCTGCCATTCTCTTCTTAAACTCTAATCTTCTCTCTACCAAAACTCCATATCAGTCTGATTTTGAAAGTTTCTTTTCAATAGCATGTTCCAACAAGTGACAACCCTTCTCGTGCAGAAACAATTTTAAGGCCTCTAGGTTGGTCACCTCTTTATCAAGAAACTGCTGTGTTGGATGAACTTCCTCAAGTAGATCAGCCCAAAAGGTAAAGGTAGCAGATAAACGTGAAATCAAAGAAAGCATGAAAAAGACCTTGTGCTGTATGATGATCGTACGACTGTGAATGTTAAGGGGCAGTACTAGTGACAAATGTGCGAAAATATTATTTTTTTTAGTATTTTTTGGGTTTCGACATATTTGGTTTCAAAAACCATTTAAAAAAAAAATTAATTATCAAAAGATATTAGAAATTTTTGTAAAATATTGTTTTGTTAACCCTATAAATGGGTAAAATTTCATTTTTTTAATATTTTTAATTTTTACCGTTTCGATTTATGGACTTAGGTAAGCCTGACAATATAGTATTTGTCAATGGAAAGTTTTATTTCTCAGAACTTAGATAAATATAAATTCCAGTCACTTACGACAGTTACCGAACACACATCAATCTTCGTTGAATAATGGTCAAAACGACTTTTTTCTGACCTAATTATAGGGTCACCTAATTTCTGACTCATCAATCTTAAACTTAAAATAAAGCAATGCATTTGGATTGGTTACACGTGTGGAAAATTTACATGTGAACAGTTATCCTTTTATGAAATTCGGTTAGACAGAGTAGAGTGTGCTCTGTAAATATGCAATTTTTCAATTTGGTGTCATCCCCTTTTGTAACATTTAGTAAACCTAATGTTTTGTTTGAAAATGTTACTGCTGTTTTTTCTGTAAACAAGGTTTTGCGTATTGGTTTCACCTGTTTAATGAAGAGGTCTAATTTTACTTGAAATGATTTCAGATGTGAATACATATCACAGATAAGGTTTTTTTATCCTTGAAATTGTTTTTTGAAACACCCACGCTGATGACAACATCAATATAAACTACCAAACCTACAGTGGCTACTTTCAAATATCTAGGGGTGACAATAAATGAACACTATGAAATAATGTCAGAGGTGAAAGAAAGGATATGGATTGATCCAAATGGAAGGATGTGGTGGAGCAGGCCTGGGCCCTACATGGGCTGTAGTGCTCCTGATAATGATGATGACATTTTCCATTGACATTGTTGAGTAGCTCTGTTAATCTTTCTTCAGAAAGCCAAAGGGCCATATCCATTCTGCATCTTTGAGCTCTGGTAATTCTTTGTTTATTGAAAGCATATAAGCAGAAACCTGTAGAAGTGAGCCATTAAAACATTTCAGCCAACTGATGCTTATGTGGTACAGAATATCTTCATAGGCAACAATTAGCTAGTCAAAAATTTGTGAAAATGTATGTGGGATTTGTGCATGAGCTGTTATGAAGTTAGCAGTAAATTATTACAGTGAGTCCAACTTCAGTGATTTACAACACAGCACTTGTTGATTTATTAAGGATTGCGGAGTTTGCAGCTATTGAATGCGAATGGTTGCTTTTCAGGGATTTTCAGTTACAGGCATTTCACTGGTACACTTTTAAAGCTTTATCACTCGGCTACCTCACACCAGAACATGATAATGGTATTAAAACTTCAGCATTACCAAGGAAAACATCAACCCAGGGACTCTGGAAAGATGGGACTTGTCAATCTTGAATGGTGGCTCACCTAAGAATCAGAAAAGTCTGATTGTAAAACTCTGCAAAATTTTGAGAGGAGTCTAGTGTATGTGGTAGGACAATAAACTTTTAAAATTTCTGGCCTCTGGTGCCTAGCTGTAACTTTGAATTGATGTTCTAATTGGATTCATCAGCTGCTTGGCAAGGGCGATCTGCTGACTATCCTGGCTTATACCATTGGCTCCTTGAAATTCACATATGCCCCTAAAAAAGAGAACTTTCAGAAAAGAAATCTTTATTAACTTATTGATACTTTTTGTTCAATACTTCTATACTTTATTTTTCATAGCTTCAAAATGGGAGTAATTCATCTGCTATTGTAGCTAGTAGCATATATCATATATATATAAAAGTGAACATTGTTTGTGGGTTTGTTTATTTGTTTGTCCCACAAAGGCTTTTACATGGATTGATGGATCTTGACCATACTTAGCAGCACATATATCCATCATTATCCAGAAGGAACTCTTGGGGAGTTATAAACTTTTAAAAACATTCCGTTTGGGGCTGGTGGACACTCCTACATGAATTGATGGATCTTGACCAAAATTAGTACAGACGCACTTGATTATCCATATTCAAATACCTAAGGGTACTGAACTCAAAACAAAATCTATCTATGGCATTTTTAAACCGATCTTAAATGCGACAACTTTTAAAATTTAACTTTATTATATCTCTCACTGATTTTTAGAGGGCCCCCTATCTCTGGCATAACTAAAACTGTACACTTATGGAATGGGCCCCCACCGGGGGCCCCTCTTTTAACTTAAAGGAAAAATAGTTAAAGTTCTGGCCTCTAGATATAGAATTTTTTTTTATTCAACTTTTTCTATCCTTTTTTTAAGTTTATATAGATGCCTTATCATGTTTATTAAATTTCATTAACTTTCAGTGAGTTTCCTCGAATTTTGTGGAATAAGAAATTAATATAATTTTGGATGCGTCTCGAAATTTCCAAATTAATCTTCCATTATTAATTATAGCCTAAGCTTTTTTGAGAAATGAAGTTGAGGGCTTAGATTAAGGTATACACTACTATGTGTACTGATGGATCTTGGCCAAAATTGGTAAATACACCCTTCATAATCCCACTGGGATCAGGATCTCACCAGGAATGTGATCCCACAGAGGAACAGGATCCTAACGGAGAGCGGGATCCAAATGAGTAAACATGATCCCACCTGGTTACAGTATCAAAAAAGAGCATAGATCCCATCATGAAGGGTGTCTCATGGGGAAAGGTATCCCCGCAAGGAATGGGAACCCACTGGGAAACAGAATCCCAGCAAAGAACTGGATCCCACTGGTAACGGAATCAAACTGGGAATGGGATCATATCGGGGAATGATATACCTTCTGGCAAATGGGATCCCATCGGAGGAGTTCCCACCGAGAAACTGGATCCACAGAGAACGGGATCCTAACGGGATCAGGATCCCACCTGAAAACGGGATTTTACCAGGATCCCACCAGGAAACAGGTTCCCAATGGGAAATGGGACCCACCAGACTTCCACCGGTATTGAGTTCCCATGGTATCAGGATTCCACTGGGATCATTATCACACCGGGATTATGATCAACCGGGATCAGGATTCCACCATGTTTGAGATCCCACCCGGAAACGGGATTACACCGGGAACACACAGGGATTATCTAATCAGGTTTCCACCAAGATCAGGATATCGATGACATTGGGATACCAACGTGATCTGGATACCAATTAGATCGGGAACATACTGTGATTGGAATATCAATGGGATCCCACCGGAATCGGGATCCATATGGGGTCGGGATCCCTCTGGATACCGATATACTATTGGAAAACGGGATCCCATCGGGAACGAAAGGTTTAAAAAAGTAATTTCTTTTTTACTATAAGGGTGCTGTTTTTTTACAATGCGCTTAATTTCAATGTTAATTAAAAGTATGCAGAAGTTGTTGTCTTTTCCGAAAGCCAACCTTGGCAACACCAGGTATATTGACTAGTATATATATAAAATGTATTGAATGTCATATTATAAGAAGCTATGGTATCTTTGTGGACAAATTTTTATGTTTTAAAACTTTTAATAATATAGGTATTTTAAAATTTTTTCAGCATATAAACATCATAATGGATCCAAATGCTGCCCCAGCACATTCTAGCAGTGTATCTTCTTCAATGGCACAAGCTACAGAAGAGGAGTTTGAGTGTGCTGTTTGTATGGAATGTTTTACACAACCCACTTACATACAACCATGTTACCATGTGTGAGTACAGCAATTTGGCTCATTCAATGTTATTTCTTTTAAAAGACAAGGAAACTAAAATATGATTATTCATTAAGTGCTATGAAATATGATGAAACTTGTTGAAGACAAAACAGAGTAATGAAGATTTCATCCAACAGCCTTTGTAGTTGACATAATTTTAAAGGTTGAAACTGAAACCATTGGAATACCTAAGGGTTGGGGGGGGGGTGAGTGTGCAAAAATCCAATTAATAACACCATAAAATATGTGTGCAAGTGGGGGCACAATTTTGGGAGTTAGCACCAGACAGCATTTAGTCAAGCTGTGCCACAAAGCAACACACATAGACCTGTTTACTCTAAAGATTTTGGCGTACAATGTACGATTTTGATATGTATACACTATATATACTGTATGTTTACTTTTTACTCTTAAGAAAATGTATTGAACAATTTTGTGAGGAAATTGTATGATTTTTTTCGAGTTTGAGGATAAACAGGTCTGCACACAGCAGGTGATTGGAGGCCATCCTATGTGCATGAACTTAAGACACAGGCTGAATGAATTTATGACTTTAATAAATCTCCTTACCACCATTGGGAATTGAATGATCACTTTTTAAGCAGGATTCATGAGTTGCACCAACATATTAGTGGGATTAGTGGATGGGATGAAACAGCTGCCTTGGAAAACTACCGTCAATAGAGTATGATATATGAGGGACTCAATCAAACTGAATATAAATGGTGGAACAAATATGTTAAGGCTTGAACAGAAAAGACAGGACAAATAATCAGTTGTCATGTATTTTCTTTTCCAGCATAAACATATCTTGTTCCACTATTTATTTACTTCAGTAGAGTATATCTTTTCTATTTCATTGGTGGAGTTCTTCCAGCTAGCATTTGAAATCCAATAATAGAATTAACTTAATAAAACAATCTAAAATTATCTGGGGGGGGGGGGGGGGGGCAGGAGATAGAGTTTGAATGAAATTGGGCCACATCAAGTATTCCATAACAAGCTATTACAAATTCAATAAAGTACAATGTGCTCAATCTTTATTAATATAAAATAAAAGCATGAAGGCTTCACTTTCTTCCTCCTACTCCTTGTTGCCAGAGACCTGGCAGCGCTGCGTCTTACACAGCTGAGCAACATTTGGCTTGAGTGAGGAAGCAACTGAGACCCTCAGTATAGCTTGAAGATGCTCATTAGTAAGTTTAGCCCTGAACTTTGACTTGTAAAGTTCAAAGTGGAAAAGAGCTTTTCACACAGATAGGTATTCCGAAAAAGGCACATGATCTGCTTGAACAACCTGGAAATCTCAGTGAGGGTGGAGGACAATGTTCTCATAAATTGTCCATGCTTGTCTGTTTTTTCATTCACCTCCTTGAACTTAGCCTTGATTTCAGAATAGCAATGAAGATCAATCAGAGATTAAATCGGTTTGACTAGAGGGGTAGTGGGGGGTTGGGGGGGGGGGGGGTGTCGCAACTTTCACATTGAAGAAGAAAGAGTCAGCAAACATTTAAAAAGTGTCTCTGTGTGTTTTGAAGTGAGCAAACAGGATCAAATTCTTCCTGTAGCTTTGCAATGGCATCAGTATACTTACTACTGATTGGTGTGCCCGAGTCCATGAGTACTTTGCATGCTGGGAAATGGCAGAGGTTTCTCTCAGAACCATAACACAAGTTTTGTGCAGAATACCCTGATATTGTCATAGGTAACACTGTGTAATGTCAACTAGAAAAACGAAGTCCATGAGTCATTTGGGATCACTTAGTACAGGAACAATCACCCCATTCTTCTCCATGAAGTCTTTGAAGGCTAAACGTGTTCAAACAGTAGGCAGGAGCAGGCAATATTTATGAATTATTGATGCAAAGGAAGATGCTATTGTAGGGAGAATGAATTTTGATATTTTTATCGTTGAAAATGCCTTTTTGACTGACCCTTTTTTGAAAGTGACCAAGCTGCCAGACTTGGAATTTCCCTCACTCATATAAGATTGCAACAAGTTACACAATTATGATTGTGCCTTACCCACTAACTGAATTTTAAAAACTTTTAGTCCGATTTTAAAACGCGTTTTACCATTATAATCAACGTCCAAATCTATACAAATATAATAAAATCAGAATTAGACTGTCTGTGAGATTCAACTGAAAATTCCCGAGGGGTCACATTATAGATATAAGAATGGGGAAAACGTGTGGGCCGCATTAACTCTAAACTTTACTGTCAGGTATCTGGCCACAAAATATTGTCTTGCGGGCCATGAGTTTGAGACCCCTGATTTATGATGATACTGTTTTTTAAGGTTGATTTATATTTATTTTTCCTAGCTATTGTTTGGTGTGCCTTCAGACTCTTTTATCTAATCCTGGTTCACGATGCCCACAATGTCGATCTAACATTGATTCACTAATCCCTGCTGTTGAAATGGAAAAAAAAATGTTAGAATGTTCAATTCTTTGTTCAGACTGCCAAGTTGACGTAAGAATTAAGACTGACCATTTTATATATTTTATTTTTTAATGTGTTAATTCTTAATAAGAGTTTTCTTAATCTTCATTTTAAGATAATAAAATATTATAACTAATATATAGATATCATTTTTAATTAAATGAAAAAAAAAATAGTTATGTTTAATTTCCACTTAATTCAAGTGAATTGCTTTATAAATGATATCTTATTTTTGGTATATTTACTAACTAATTTTAGATATTAGCTGCTTCTATGAAGGACCATAAGTTGAACTGCCCGGCAGTCACACGGAACAGGGTACAAGTTTCTCAGTCAACACAGTTTGAAGGTGTCGCAGGTGGATCGGCGTAAGTAACAGATACACATTCGCACATTTATTTTTTTTATGACAATTAGATTATTCGTTATTTTATGTAAATTTTCAGTTTACTCGTATGCCTCGTATAAGATCAAACTACAGCAAGAACTGTTACCAGGACATTATTATATTACTTTACTAAGTTAATTTTAAATTCGATTATATATTAATTCATGCATAACCAAATTAAAATGTTATTAAAAAATTAAAATGAAACGTTTAAAATTTATCTTTTTTTTAGTAATCTACCCAATAGATCTACATTTAAATGCCCATACTGTAATGAAACAAACCTCTTGTGTACCCAACTTGTTGAGCACTGCAATACGTACCACAAGGGTAGTAGAAAAAAAGTGGTAAGTTTCTTTGTTTACTTTCACTAACAAATCGGGCTTATTGCAAAGGTTATGAACAGCATTGCTAGGGGGACAATTCAAAGAGTTGGCTATTGATATATGAAAAATCTGGGTATGAATATGACTTGCTTGCTTAAAAAGGTTTACTTTTGGGTGTTAGTTTCATTTAAAACTTAGATCTAATGTTAACCAAAGAGTTGCTTTCATTTCAGTATATGAAATCACCAATAAAAGTATTGATTATAAATAAGGTATGAGTTTATAATTTTTAAAATATCATTTTAGGTGTGCCCTGTTTGTGCCTCAATGCCATGGGGAGATTCACGTTTTAAAAGTGCCAATTTTCTTGAACATCTCAATGCACGCCACCGATTCGAGTATGAAACTTATGTGGTGAGTGCAGTATTCAAATATTCATTTTTCAATTATTATTAGTACCTTTTTTTTTTACTACCACTACTATAACTAGCAATTTAGAATTAATGTACCTGTATGTAAAACTTGAACTTTAGGGCAAGCTTTCACTTATGGGCTGCTACTGTAATGGTGGGCCAATTTAAAAAAATTCATGTCACATTGCAAAAATTGCCTTTTCTTCAAAGCAAGTTTTAAAATCACACTTTTTATTTATACAGAACCAACTAAGAAATAAATAAATTTACATCATGCATGTTTTGACCTTGCATAAACTCTTAAATATTTTATTTTTTGGTGAAGTTATTGTTATAATTTACCTAAGTCATGAAAATTTTACTATAATTTTAGGACTATGAACAAGATGATGATGCGATGCTTCAACTTGCCTTGGAAGCATCTTTGCAATATCAGTAATATCAGTGACTCTAGTCAGAACAAGAATTGAAAAAAAAAAGGGTTTTCTTCAAGTAAATTTACACAGGTTAATCAAAAAAATATAACATTCATTTGATAGCAAGGTTAAGTAGTAGATTTTTAAAGATGAATTTAGTTTAGTATAAGCACTAGGGGGTTGACATCAAATGAGAAATGCAAATTTGATAGAGCTTGCTCAAGTTGGTTAAATAAAAGATTGTAGCTAAATACAAGTGCAGGGTGTCACCAGAGCAGGTTGCAAAAGATCAGGTACGGGTTGCCATTAGTGCAGGCTGTCACCAGACAGCAGGGTGCCACCAGAGCAGGCAGATTCTTAGAAAGTCCATGATGGAGTCTGATAAAAGGTGACACCATGAGTTTAACGCACTTGGTGACACCACTGACTCTACTTCTCTTTGATTATTGTGAAAAGGTATGGTGCAAACAATGAAAATATATTTAAGTTATTATTAATGTACCATGTAGGTAATTACCAGTATTTAATTATTTTTTTTTAGTTTGAATAACTCTTAAATAATATTATTAACAAAGATTTCATAGTATAGGAGTTTTATTAAAACTTTTAGTGCCAATAGACCTCATTATTTCCTACATGTTTATTTCTCTAGCTTCCATTCAGCATGCTTTATCAGGACAAGCTGCAAATGTACAGTCATCTTAACATTCCACATAACTGATTTCAGTTCCTGCTACAGAATCCATTTGCATTTGAACAGCTTTAATCTACCGTGTACCACCCTATCAGCTAAAACAAAATATTTGCCGATCTTATTATGCTCTGTATCATTTCTTGATTCACTTTGAATCTACCAATTATTTTGGTTTGCATGTGTGTATATATATATGTATTTTATATATATATATATATATATATAATATATATATATATATATATATATATATATATACACACACACATAATCCTCTACACATATATATACACATAATTATTATGCTCTGTATCTTTTCTTGATTCTCTTTGTATCTACCTATTATTTTTTTTTGTATGTGTGTATATATATATGTATTTTATATATATATATATATATATATAATATATATATATATATATATATATATATATATATACACACACACATAATCCCCTACACATTTATATACACATAAATTTAATTATTATAAATTTCATCTCTTTTTCACCCATCACTGGTATCAAATAATTTTGCACAACTGATTGCCAATAAAACTGGGCATTTTACTGCCAATAAAACTGGGGATTTTACTCTTACTATCATTTTTTATATAATATACTTAAGAAATACTTAAAATATACAGATTTAGAGACATTTTATGATCTGGGAAATAAATATTTTATATTACTATGTATTTTTTACTACCTTTCACATTGCACAAAGTACCGTATATATATGCCTTTAAATAAAACAAATGTACAAAGTCTTGGCACAGGAAGGCATAGAAGTGATATAATTAAAGAACTTCCAATGAAAGCACAGACGCCATTAACAAAAGAATTATTTTTTTGACAAGTTACCTTATCTATCTTTGGCTATCATCAGTAAAGTAAATAAATAATATCATCCTTTATTTCATCCATCAGTGACTAGAAAACATATTGCAGTACCGATTTTTGTTGCATTCAGTTTATAATTTTTTATTTTCATTTATTTTATTCAGTATATTTGCAAAGATGTTCTTATGATACTTATATCTCAAAATCTTGTGTTTAACCCTTCATTGTTGCAAGTTAGTTAATTAATATGAAATGTTGATAAAAGCTATTAAAAATACAGTTTAAAAACAATTTTGTTTGATTACAAACTTGACTCTGCCATATTACTATGGAAATAAAAATGTGTTGTGTAATTTTTGTATGGTGTTACAGTATGGGAGGGTAGCCCTGACCAAAAACAAAAATGATTTTTTTAAATTATTGAGCTACTGGAAACTGCTAAGTATTCTCCTGCTTTCAACATATAAACCTCATCACATTTTTTATTGACATTGACAATTCAACTAATCACATTTTAGACCTCAGAATACTAATAATACTCAAACTCACCGAAACAAATAAACTAGAACACGTTTGTGAAACAAATAACATTCCTAAAACAAATCATAACTTTATTGATTCTTTGCCCAATTTGAAAACTGCTGAATTTGTGAATGTGAGAATTCACACAAGAATTTAGAGAGAAACACTTTTAATGTATCTTTGTGTATTTTTAGTCCTTGAAGCATGGCATCTGACAAGTATTTCAGTGCTTGGTCCCAATCTCCTTGTTTACCTTAAAAATAGAACAAGTATTAGCTACTTTAATTTTTTCATCATTCAAAATATCTTAAACTCAAACCCAACAATACATTTAAAAAAAAGAAGATAAATATGAATAAAATCACTTCAATTTATATTTGGAATGATACAAATCACCCAAACTTTTAGTTTAAGTTTAATTCATTTTTTAATAAAAAACATTCATGCCCATTTAAAGTATTCCTTACATTTGTGAATAATGAGAGCATCAAAAACACTAGCTTTAAGACCTGGTTTGATATATGACTGCTGTAAAATCCAGAGTAGAACCTTGTCTCTATCAAACTCCAGTTCATTTGATAACTGAACTAACTTTGTCACCTTGGAGTTGGAGAGAAAATATTTATTTATATGTCAATTAATTTTTACTACCGTTACATGAATTGTGAGAAGTGCCAGATTAACCTAAAGTAAATGACGCAGACACCTAGGGGTCTTTTACTTGTGATGACTAATGCATAGAATAGAATTTATAAGCATCTCTATACATAAGAAGTTATAGAATAAGGGGAGAAAAGAAAAAGTAAGGGAAATACTAAGGTAAACTTTGCCTAATAGATGGTAATCATCAAAGGGAGCATTTTGAGAGAATTTCGTAATTTACTGATGGCAGAAATGAAAAGAAATAAAAGTTCAAAGTGAGATAATTTGGTCAGTGAATAAACAATCAAAAATGTGTTATAAAAAGACTCTTTAATTTCTCAGTCGTTATTTTAACAAAAGGTTGACTCTCATCTGACTTGAGTAGGATCTGGGAAATTTGGGGAGAGGGGGAAGAGAACAGTGTCCAATAGGGACCAACTCCTGAAGTTATGCCTCCAAACACAGATCCATTATACAATGTTAGGACTATATGAACTCAATAGTGCAACCAGGTAAACACACTATATGGAGATAAAGCTAATTAAAATTTATGTAGAAAAATGATAGCATTGCTTTGTTTGCAGTTGGTTAGGTCAGGATTGGTTCATTACCTGCTACATAGATATAGATTGCATGCAATCCTTACTTAACCCACGAACGGTCAATTGTAATGTTTCTGTACTGGTACTGTAAAGGCAATTTAGAGCTTTTTTGTTGCCTTTTCAAATGCAAATACTATAGCTAGACCCCACATAGTGTATATTTTTTGAAATTATACAGAGTGGGGAATCATACTGCCTACTTTTTAATGATCTTTTATACTCAGTGACTGTGACCTTAACCTTGGAGTAACCAAGAATAAAGAAAATAATGAATTTTCTCTTTTCAAGCACCTCAAACTACATTTTTTTAAATGCATACTATTATAATGTTTATATAATATGATAGAATTTTTATTTATCTTTCAGAAAATGTATTATTCGTATACGTTTTAGTTCTTAACAGATTTAAACAAAAAAATATTTCTTCTGATACCTATAATTACGTTCAAGTAACCAAGCACGACATAAACAATATAAACATTACTAAATAACAAGAAACGGATAAAATTTTAAAAGCTGCTATTTAAATATTTAATCCATAAAATGAAATATAAGAAAACATAAATAGAACAACATCCAATTATTTTTCGTTGGTACAAAATCATCTACAACATAGTTTTTAATGAGTCCTGTTGTTGTGGCAACGCCTACTAGTTCTAGGTCTACGCCTAAATCGTCCAAAATTTCACTTTCTGACCCACTAGAAAAATAATCAGAATTATCATTGTCTTCTTGTGTGATCAGAAAATCATATTCCTAATAACTTAAGTCATTAACTAAAAAGAATTATCAAAAAGATTCATAACTGATTTATTTTGTAAGCCAGATATGGCCTCATCCACTTTGCGAAAATCTACTGACACAAATTTGCTTGGTAAAGATAGTTGTAAAAATAACTGCAAAGTTTTAAAAAAAGGACGCAGAAGAGCGAAAAACTGAAGTTTATTTATTAATAAAAGGAAGTAATTATATTTGGTGTAAAATATTGGACTGGAACTTATCCTTTCAACGCAATTTTTATAGGCCGATTTTATCAGCCGACACAGTTTGGGGATAGAAAATTGGCCGATGAAATTAGCCGACAGCAATTCGTGGGTTAATCTTTATTAAAGTGTTTAAATAAAAATGTTCAAAGCAGAATTCCTACAAATAAAAAATATATTCAGCTAATTTATAAATGGCATGCCTTCATAAAAAATTTTTTTAAAGAAAGGCAAACAAACCTGTGCTGGAATAAATTTTTTAAGATCTTTATCTTCTTGCAACATTCCATCAGCTTTACTAAACTTTTCAGCTTGAACAAAAGAGCACCATAAATATGCTTGTGCATAGGGAAGAAGCAGTTTCTTTTTCTGAAGCTCATCAACAAGACTTTTAATAATGTTTATTCGATGAGGAAAATGTATTATAATCTGGAAGCATTCACAAGTACACATTGATAAATTTTTAGACTAATACTATATCGTATTTTGTTAAATATTGGAGAGGCGAACATGTGGAAATTTAATTTAAAATGCTTTTGCATTGCAGTAGTTATCTAAACTTAATATAAACATTGGTCATGGAATACATCTTAGAATTTGTCAATCAAAAAGGGTTAAATTTTAAATAAATTAAATGTCTATTTTACTTTTGCTTCTTTTTAAATGTCTATTTTACTTTTGCTTCTTTTTAAGTTACCTTTGTCGTTAGTAGGTAAAAAAATACATCAACATTTTCAGATTTAGAGGCAGACTCATACATCTCTCTCAGCATGGCTATGCTTTCTTCAATTTTCCCGCTGATGCAGTAGGCCATGTGAAGGCACTTGTAAAATTCCAAACCAAAACTGATATTGTTGCTTTTCAAAATGTCATTCATTTCTAACAAACAATTTACCTGCGTTTGTAAATTTAAAGTTTTTTTTAGTTCATATTATTATATTTTAACCAAGTTAAAAATACATGGCAAGAAATGAAAATAAGATCATGCTGTGCTTTTCCAATATGAGCGTGAATAATAATTTCATGAATATTGATGGTGACTTTGGCAGTTTTCTTGTGGTCCTATATGAAAAAGTTAATATGAAATTTAAAATAAAAATTTGCAGAAACTAAAAACTCTTAAAATGTTTATGATTTGCCTTATATATATATTATTATATATTATATTCATCTTCTGATATTACATATATTTAATGCAATACTTCATTTCAGTAGTTGACAGCTAATTAATACCAATAATAGGACTTATTTGTAATAAGTGAAACCATTCTTATGATATCTAATTATATCTTTTTCTTTAACAATAATGAAATACAAACCTCTCCAAGAGATGAAAAATGTTGTAGCAATCTGAATATAACCTGTATGTCTGGTTTCACTCCACTTTTCAAAGATATCTTTAATAAGTTAACAGCTTTTTGTAATTGCCACTCATGTAAACAATCCAAAATCTGTTTTTCTATACTTGAAGAAGGCATGCATTCCATATTATCATCAAGGATAAAAGGAAGTCGTTGAAAAAGATGTTTGGTACACTTTGACATACTGGTATCAGTATTATTCTGTAAAAGCTTTGTTCTGTCTGTATGAACAAAGTTCATCAACAGCTTGTTCTTACATTTTCTTCCCATTTTTATTGAGTCAAAACATTTTGCTGGTTTGCAGAACCAATGTATCCAAATGTCAAAATGAGGTTTAACAGCCAAGTGAGAAAACTGACAAGTTTGTTGAAATGTTAGCTTATGATGATGTACTGTATGTGGTAGATCCAGCCTAGTACATAAAGTTGGGATGACATATAAAAAAGATGAACTGAATTTAGTATTTAAAGGAATACAAAACTTGACAACTCTTTGCACTTGCGTCATCGTACTTCATGGCATCCTAATGTAGATAACCCACTAACCTACTTGTATTTTGTACCTGAATAATTAAAGAGATAGTGACGGTTTGCAGTACCGGTACCATAGCTGAAAATATATATTAATTAGGTGTATTAATTTATAAGTAATTTGAACATCATGCTAAGATTTGACTTTTATTATTTTTAAATAAATTTAAATGTATTAAAATTTTGAAAATGTTTTAAGCTAGAATTAGTACCAAAGTAACTGTAAACTTAAGTTTTATAATTATAATAGTAATAGATCTAGTAGTAGTAGTAAAAGTATCATGAATATAATGATAATATTATATAAATTTATGACTAAGAACTATTATTCTTGAATTTCTTGGGAGTTGATGGCATATAAAATTATAATAAACCGGTAATAGCACTTATGAATGAAAACTAGACTAAGTATTAAGAACTGTAACTTGTTTATTATCTTTAACTATTATTAACTATAGACTATAGATTATTTTATTATGTCATATTTATATTATTATATATTAAATAACATAGTACAGTATAATTATAATAGTAGGCGAGTATAGTGATATAATAAAAATTATTATACATAGTCATAGTCAAAGTCTATACTGACTATACTATACTGTAGTATACTTAGACTATGACTATATTAAATATTATAATATATTATAATTTTTATTTATATACTTACTATACAGTAGTATAGTATACACTAGTATCATACTTTATAACTTATACTATTACTATGACTCGACTAAGACTAAGACTATAGACTATAGTAATAGTAACTAATAGACTATAGTCTATAGTATTAGTATTAGTATAGACTATAAACTATGACTATACTATATAATATATACTATACAAAATAGTAAATAGTAAATAGTATAGTAAAGTATAGTACTAATAGTAATAGTAATAGTAATAGTATAGTCTATAATAGTGTTATAATTTATATCAGTATAAGTAAGTATAGTCATATTAGTGACTAATTTTTATTAGGCATATTGAAAATAATACTTACTACCAAGATTACTACTACTTGATAAAGAACTTTGCAGCAAAGCAAGGATTTGATTGATTGTTTAAAAAACTGAATTTTTTTTAGAAGAATCGGCTAATGTTGATGAAAGAAAATTAGAGTGATCTCCCTTTAAGCCCAATTGGAAATTCCCGTGCCTTTGCCGCAGTGGCTAAAAATAACTGTTTACTTCAACCATTAAAAAACAATAATAATCATCATATTCTTCATATTGTAGTATAATAATTTAGTTAATTAAGATGTACAAAAAATATTTATAGCTGCTCTTTCACATAATATATAAATATTTTCTTTAGTATTGTTGTTTGTTTAATTAATTACCAATTGTTAGCAATTAAATTACAAAAACCAAGGCGTCCAAGGCCAAGGCAAAGTTCAAATTCAAAGATTACCCAATTGCCAAAATAAAATTATTTAATTATCTAGCCTACATTTTCAGGAAAACACCGCGCATGGCATAAGGTATAAGGTGTCGAGAAAGCGAAAGAAGTTTATTAGTAACAGTGGCAAAAAATGCAATTACGTTATCAAAAATGGCATCTCGATTGGGCCGTTTCAAGTGTTTGTTAAAACACCACGGCCACGGTACATATTCTGATTCTTTTCTTGAATCTCACATTCATAAAAATGAAAATAGCAAGCTCAGGAAAGCGGTGTCACAAACTTGTCAAAGTACTCAAAGACAAAGACGTTTTTCTACGACTACTAATACTACTACGATAGATGAAAGTGAAAGGTTATTTACTACTTACTATTTACTAGTGTACTAACTAGTACTAGTAGCATTACTGTTACTCATTACTGCTTAGGGTAGGTAGGGTTATAAGGGGAGAGACTGCAATCAGGTTAGCACAATGTAGAATGAATAAAACAGAGTAAGGTAAAACCTGAAAAAAGAAACGCAACAAAACAACGAATGTGTCGGCAGAAAGCCTTCGTCAGCGAACAAAACAACTGAAAAAACGGTATAATTTTTATAATGAAAATAGCAATACCTTTCTGCCTTTCTGTACCAGGCTACGGAAAAGACTCACAGGTGCACATGTGCCTGAAGTGAAAAATCAGCCCACAACCCAGTCCTGTGTGGTGTGCAGCCCCAAATCAAAGTTGTAAAAAAACAGTGACATTTTAAAAAAATAAATTACTTTCTAAAGAAAAAAAATCAATCTATTTCCCGGAGTTCAGACTTCATGCATGAAGCTCGCTCGTGGGAGCCTTTTTTTTCACTTGGTACTATTAATATAAAACGTGGAGTCTGTTTGAGGGGGAAGGGGTTTGAAGAGGAAGCAGGATGTACCAAAAGCAAAATATATGTATAAGAGATTAAAAAAGTCTACACTTCGAAACTAAAATAAGAAATTTAATTATCCTAAATTTAAAAAAAAAATTATTTACCCAGATGAGAGAGTGAGATTAAAATATATAATTCTTTTCTAACTGAGCAATCAATAAACACAGTGGTATTCAATTAAAGGCTACCAAGCCACTAAGCTGTGGCCCAGTGTAGTTGTAGAATTGTAGTAATTTTAAGATTATTAAATTTGTTGAGGATCTTTCTATATTAATTTTTAGTTGCAAGCCAATTTTAAACTATATAAGTAATATTATTTTTAACACATCATATATCTAAATTAGTTATTCATTACACAGTTAGGTTAGCAAACTTCATTTTTTAAATTTTAATTTCTAAATAAAAATGGGCCCTGACAGATGTAAATTGACTCCATATTAATGTTTTTCCCCCTCAGATTGATAACATCAGACAAACACTTAGTTCAAGGCACTGAGTTTCATTATGAACAGACAGGCAGAGGAAAGCATACAGTACTTCTATTACCAGGAGCATTAGGTGACCAATTTTAATTTATCACTCAAAATTACCTTATTTAATATTTAAGAATGTTATATTGTATATAGCCTAGTAAGCGTTAGGTGGGGCTTATTTTTAAACTTCAACACGGAGTTTGTTTTAACCACCACAACTTGTCTTCTAGTAATGGCCTTAAAACTGACGTCACCATGTAAATGTGTTGCCCAACCGTCCTGGTTGGGGTGATAGTTTTTTACATTCAAAAGCGCTCCACCTGCTCTTCAGAATGTCAATTGGTGACGCAATTTGGAGGTTTTTCTAGATATATAAAGCCTGTCAGGTTTCTTAGCAGAAAGAATTAGCGAGACTTATAGATAGACGTATAAGACGTTTATATGTTTGTGTGTTTAAATAAATATTTCTATTGTAAGGATTGCACCTTTTTTCCACTTGGTGTAAACTGATACACTTTTGCTTCTGTACTCACATTTGTATTTGTATAGAAATTCATTTACATAATTAAATTAAATATTAGTATCACTATCATTTGTATCACTAGCTTAAGTAGCGCTTTCTTTGCATACCGTTAGATCTGTCTTTTGTTACGTATTGTTTCGTCCATGAGCCAACTATTAACACAGGTTTAATTTTTATAACCATAACAGTGCATAGCAAGAATTATATATCTTAAACTTAAATAATTATTGAGTAAATTTTAAAAATTTATATTATTGCTATGCATAGTAAAGATGCCTCCTAATATTTATATGAAGTTCATTGGTAAATATAGTAAAAATATCTTTAGGTAGCTCACGCACAGATTTTCTCCCACAATTAAATGGCCTCAATACAGAAAAATATAGGATTATTGCGTTTGATCCTCGAGGATATGGCAAATCCCGCCCCCCAGACAGGGACTGGCCTCTTATGTATTTACAAAGAGATGCTGATGATGTAGCCCTTTTCATGAAAGTAAGATTTTCAAACTGCAGCAGACTAATAAATAGACCCGTTGCATTTTAATGACTTTTCTTTTGGAACTGACCAAATATATTTGTCCTTAACATAATTCATTGCAAGGGTACTACTTTTGGGAAGCTAAAATACACATAATGAACAGTCATCATCATAATCTATATTTGCATAAAATATATCTTGAAATTGAAACACAACTAATGCAGTTTTCACAAATATGTCTTTTTTTTATTTGCCTGATTTTACATTTATAAGCTTTACACTTTACTTTTACTTTGTATTTTTATTGATTGTTTTCATGCATTTTTGGAAAAGATAAAGGGTGGGGCAAAACACATAATAAAAGGAATATTTCTTAACCTGAATCTTCTTTTCTTTAGACACTGGGAATTCCACGATACTCTGTGTTGGGATGGAGTGATGGTGGAATCACAGGGCTTATATTAGCAGCCAATCACCCTGGCAATATTCAGAGGCTTCTCATATGGGGGTCAAATGCCTTTGTGACAGAAAAGGATTTAAAATTATACAAAGGTGTGCTATTAAAACTATATCTCTTGCATTAATTTTTAAAAAAAAAAGGAAATATTGAAAGATTAAATTCTTTAAATGTTCTTGCTCTTTTACAGCTGTAGAAGATATAAATACTTGGAGCCTCAAAATGAGGCAACCATTCATTGAAATGTATGGTGAAGAATACTTCAAGAAGCAATGGAAAGCTTGGAATCAAGCTATACAAAACTATTACGTTCAGAGAAATGGTGAGGGTTACTTTTAAACCAACTTTGAAAAAATTCATTTGTATCAACAACCTCCTTTCAATTTTATTAAAATTTTCATGGTTTAAAATTTCAGCCATCTATTTATATGATTACCTACAAAGCTGGAAGTTTGGCTACATCTTTAATCACAATGCGTCTTAACATATACTATTGCGTTGCACCAAATTCGTACAGCATTGTAAATGCTAAACGATTAACAGTGACTTCATTATCTGTCTAATTAATTAATTGTTTGTTTTATTATAAATATAAAACTTAAGTGGGAAAGTGGGCTCGAGAAATTTCCAATCAAAAATTATTTTTAGAAATGTAGTTTAATTAAACTGACATCTTAAATACTTTTGGTGCTTGATAATAGAAAGAATGTATTTGTTTTTACCCAGCTTTACTTGCTCATATGTTAATTATAATAATGAGAAAAGCTTTTGATATATTATTTAAATTCTACTTGGTTTGAAAACTGAATAGCCTTTCATATATATCTTAAGAATGTAGCCCCCCTGAAAGTCTGCAGTCTTTGGCAGCAGGTCTCTAGAGTTTGGTGCGCTACTGTGTCATCTTGACTTATATATAAGTGTTTAAAAATAGAAACTGTTTACAAGTCTTTCTATTTCTTAATTATTAAAAATAACCACCTGTATAGTATTCACATTTTTAAAGTGATTTCAAAAGACACCCCACTGTCACATTGCGTGATTCTGTTATGTGTCTGTTTTGATAATTTTGTCAGTGATTTATCGATGTTTTCCTTTAAGAATTTACTCAAATATCGCACCACTTTGACTCAGCCACGAATGCGCTGATTGTTATGGGGTCAAGAAGCATATGTTTTAAAGGAGTGAGTGATTGGTCTGTTGAGCTGGGTGCAGGAATTTCTTTTCTTCCAATGTGAACACTATTATTACTGGATTGTTTATTGTGCACTGTGTCTTAACACAGCATATAAAAAATAAATAATTAAAAAATACTTTTATTTCAAACCATCTTATTGATTTTTTGAAGTGTGAATGTTTCAATACATTATCAGCCTTTTAGGAGCTAAGAGAAAGAAATGGAGTTTTAGACTCGGAAATTATTTCTGTGGCAGTTCGGAGGGGATCTGCTCCTAGACGACAGTTATAGAAAAGTAATTTTGTAAAAAAATGTTATGTTTTTTCTTTAATATATTGATTCTAATGGGTATTTTCTTTTCCCAACAGGAGATATTTGCATTGGAAGCCTGCCGAACATTAGGTGTCCTACTTTGATTGTTAATGGTCTTTTGGATCCCTTAGTACCTCAAGAGCATCCAGTATTCCTTCAAAAACACATTCCAAATTGCAGGTAATTTTAAGTTTATAATTTATGCTATTTAAAATAATAGTTCATATTATTACTTTTAAGCAGTTTGTGTTTGAAATAAAAATGACAAGTAACTTTGCCAGGTTGTTAAAATAGGTTTTAAATTATTATTTAAAGCCTAATACACAGGCCAGCAAAAAAAATCTATTTTCTTGGTGCCTTGGGTTTTGGCCTGTTTTGGGCCACTGATTCTGAAAACAACTCTAGCTTTAAAGAAATAATTAATTTGAACAAATGTCAGTCAGCTCTATTGCAGAATCTGAAGGTCATGGAAATTTTTTAAATAGGAAATGTATGTAATGCAATTATGCATGTGTGTGTATAAAAATATTTGTAATGTCCTTCATATACAAATACACTTGCTACACATTAAATAGAAATAATGTGCAACTCATGTAGGACAATAGAGTGGCCAGATGGGAAACACAACCTGCATCTGAGATACCCTCAACAGTTCAACGCTATGGCTGAAGAGTTTCTAGATGCAGAGATCCCTATCAAAGTTTAAAATGCCAGAAACTTTAAATGTTAAGTAATGAAGCTTGATTGGGTTGCTTTGTAAACAGTGAGCAGTCAAAAGCTATATTTATCAGTAACTACCATTTTCAATCCTCAGATTTAACAAATAATTTTTATTGATTAAAAAACATCACCATCAATTTGAAAATAAGCATTTGATAATAAGTTAAAATTGAAGAGGTAATAACTAGTTTAAACTATTAGAATCAAGTTATTATTTGCTTTCTGCCAATTCCACTCTGTGAAGAATGCATTTCTGCTATAATAATTTTTTTCATTTAAAAAGGATTTAAGCAGAAAATCCTTTTTTTAAAAATAGTAAATGAAATTAATATATATTAATGTTACACAATATATACACACACACTATATATATGTATGTAATATTACAAAGAATGTGATGCTGATTCCTCAAATCCAGTTGTTTTATATTTTCTATTATCAGCCATTTATGTAACATACTGCCTTAATAATAATATTCCTGAAACGTTACATTTAGTACTGTAAATGATGTATAAAATAATTGTTAGCCAAGATTTGTTATGTTTGAAATTTAAAAATTAATCAATGCAATAAAAAAAAAAATTCATATTCTTTCCAGCGCTTTATTAATCCAATCTTTGGGTATCTTAATGTCGGTAACATAATTTGTCTTACATCCCGATTGTGGAATAATTACCTTTTTTTAAATATCTAAATGGCATGAAATTAATAATATCAAAATATTTCCAAGGATCTTGCATTTCTATTCATTGCTTCTCAAATTATGTTGCAATAATTAAACATGAATTGAGATTGAAGTACAGTAAAATAATCCTCTTTTTGTAACATAGAAGAAAATCGTGCCTGGTTAAGCATAGCAAAGATAATAAAGAAAAGTATATTCATGATGTGTCAAAATAACATTTAATTTTAATCATTCTTTTTTATCACATGCATGCAAAAATGACACAGGGAACTTAATTTTAGACCTTAGTATTTGTCATTAGTATAAAGGTGTCAGAAAAACATTGTGTAACCAATCAAAGGTTAACACACACTAATGCTCCCCTCCCTCCACACATACTCAAACAATCTCATAATAATATATACATTCAAAAATTAACTATTAAGTTAAGTATTCCAATTTCTGGAAAGACAATAGAGTTTCAGTCTGTCGTTATTTTTCATGTCTGAGATAACTTGTATTTTATAAATCCAGCAAGGTTGGACTTTGCCATCATTACAACTGCATAATTTTCTCCAAAATTTTTACGATTCCCTGAGACCTGAAATAAAAAGAAATTCAATTAATCACTAAAGAAGGAATTTTAAAATGACTAGTTATTTATCCATTCAATCCCAGCCACTAATGCTTTTACTCATCTAAATGTCCAATCATAGAAAAATAGTTGAATGGTTCTGAAAAACTACCAACACTCGTGACTTTTGTAAAATTATGAAACACTAAGCTAATTAATTTATCTAGAATCAGAAAGGGTACACCATATGATATAACAGTTTCACAGTTTTTGTAAGCTCATGGATAACAATAAACAGTCACGCACAAATAACAAAATGCACCAGTGTGATAATCAAAGGAGGCAGTGATAAAGGATTTTGGAATAATTTTTAAAAATATAGGTCTGGAACATTTTAAAATAAAATTGATGTCAGGAAAAAACAATTTTACGGTAAAAAACAGGTTGAGGCAGTCCATAACCATAAATTAAGTGTAAGGAACTCCCAGAAATTAAAACAAAGTATAATAATAATACATTTGAACCCCGCTACAACAAGTTATTGGGTTCCATAAAATTGGATTGCACTAATAGATGGGTGATAGCAGGCTTTTAGATCATGTGCGATTGAACATACAAAATATGGGCAGCCATGCCGTGCCCGTTTTATATTAAAATTGGCATTAGAGCTTGCAGTTTATTTGCATAGGAGGCTTATATTTTCATGACAGATATTTTTCAGTTAACTCAATCGTTTCATTTATCACATTATTAGTCAAATTAGACCTTTAAAAATACTTACTCTAGTCTTGAAAGATGGCTGCAGAGCTCTAAGCTTATCTACCAAACCAATTTCTTTAGCTATGAAATCTGTTGCATCTTCTTTAAAAACATCAAACAATGAATCCAGTGCCTCAGCCACAACAACAACATCTTCATTGTTACAAGCCACTTCCAGAAGAATGGTTCCGATTTTCTGGATATAAAAATGCTTGAGTTTAAATTCTAGTTAAAAATATCAGGTAAACAGGCAAAATTGTTGTAAACATGCCAACTGTGTAAAATAGTTATTAAAAAGATCAGATTTAAATGACACATATTTAAAAGTTCCAGAAAAGCAGCAAGTTCAATGGGGCAGTAATAGGCTGGCACTTCTCCCCATCGTTTTTTGTAATGTTTAGTTAAAAAAATATCTAGCAAAATGTAAAGCATATAAAATTGGACAAGCTTGTAGATTATAAAAGTCATATATGATGGGAAGATCGAATTTTACCAACCTTAAGAAGTGGATTAGATCCAGCTGATATAATGCATCCAATAGTAGATATGATCCGTACAACATTTATTTGCACCTCTCTGTTTTCAATATCTTTAGCCAATCCCAAAAGAAAGTCTAAATCAGGTTCTTGCACATTACTGATCTGTCATATGGAAATAATATAGGAAGTCATGACATGACATCAGCTGGGTACAAGCGTCTGAAAACCATTTATAAAACTGGCACAAGAGTAACACCACCAAAAAATTCAATAGATAATAAATATATTTTTTAACAACTCAGAAAGTGGCATATATTCAATAAGCTTTGCCGCTGAACAGTACTGTATTAGTGTAAGAGAGCACTCTCCTTTAAATACCATGTTTAAGGAAACATTATTTTCAGAATTTACATTTGAAGCTTGAACCTCTGAAAGACGCTGCATGACTGCTCTCAGTGCACTTGTCACAGCCCATTTAAAATCTTCATTAGTGGATTCTGCTGACAATTAAAAAAGATTATTCTTCAGTAAAATCAGCGCTACGTACTAAAAAATAAACTGCAAAGTAAATAACTGTAGTAGAGTTTCAAAAGAACTTTTACCTCTGGGCAAACTGGCTAAATTATTAAGTTCTGTCCATACTTTCATCAGGGGTGTCGATTCTGAAATGAAAGCTTCATCCACAGCTCCTATTATATTACTGAGACAGAGTAAAGCTCTTGTTTGGAGGTCAAACAGTCTATTAGATAAAACAAAACAAAATTGAACCTACACTTTTCATACACCAATTTGTAAAATAAATGAACTATTTCACCACCAAAAACCATTGAATTTCTCAAAGTGGACATTTTGGTTAACATTAATTACTTTTTAAGGGTATTTCTTCCACAATGAGATTCTTCCAACTTGGAAATTTGTGATGTGGTCAATGGAGAAGCTTTCTGTAGGATCTGTTGTAAAATAAAAATAAGGATTTGCCTAAAAAAAAAATTACGGCAATACATTTTCAGAATCTCAACAGATAGCTAAGGAAAGTATTTTTAGGGTGCTTGAATACTTGATGCAACTAATTTTTTGTTTAAAAAGCTTTTGATTTAAAAAAACACAAAAATAGTAAATTTGTTCATTTTTTTTAATTGAAGAACAAAAAAAGGCAGCATTCTAGAAATTATGGGTCCTTTTTGACAGGTTGGAATTTTCACAAATCATTTGGTTTTTTTCAACTCAGTACCAGTATACATTTATCCTAAATTAAAACTGTTCCAGACAAGAATTTAAAGTCTGAGCGCTGTGGTAAAAAAAAAAAATCACCAGAAATGTGTCAAACAACAGAAATGACTCTTTTTTGCAGATATTTTTATAACATTACCATGAAAGTTGATTTTAGCATTTACACTCCCCCAACCCAAATCCAAAGTGCCTGACCTTTGGTTCAAAATAAAGTCGCAAAGCTTACTTGAATGTCATTAATGTCTTTAAAAAAGTAAAAAAACATACACCCCCCCCCCCATCATTCCTTAACAAATCCCAAGAAACCCAAAGGGCCTGACCTTTGGTCAAAAATAAAGCCGCAAAGCTTACTTGAATGTAATTAATGTCTTTAAAAAAGTAAAAAAACATACACCCCCCCCCCCCCATCATTCCTTAACAAATCCCAAGATATTCAGGGGCTTATTTTCAAAATGATATAAAAGTTTCAGAAGCAGCATCTGAAAATGACAAAAATAAAGTTTCAAAAATTTTTTTAATAGAATCAATTGTAATATAATATAATTAATGTGAAGATGTATTTGTTAAAAAGTATTCATACCTTGGATATTATGTCCTTTTCCACAAAAGCTGAATTAATTTCACTAGGGAGGCAGAGTTCAACCTGTAAAATCAAAAACAAAAAAAATAAATTGTTTACAAAATCCACAAGAAAAATGTATAAAACTTTGTGCATACCTGTAAGACATAAAAACTTAATTTGAAATTTAATCAAAAATAAAACTTACTGTTGCATTTTGACAGGTGGTTTCCATTGCCTGGTCCTCTGCAGATTCTTCTGAGCCTTGACTTTCCACATCCTCCCATTCATCTGAGGTGATTACAAAATTTTAAAAAAAAAGCTGGGCAACAGTCTATATCTTTATTCCCACATCTATTTCACACTAGTGTATCGATGCATTAAAAAATGAAGATTATTTGCAGACTAATCAACATCTTAACTCTACTTGGTGGAGATTTTCAGCCTGATAATGAATCAGTATTTTAAGAATTTATAAATATTATATCTGAGTATCAATCCCAGTACGCTTCATGGGTATTTCATAAAATTAACACTTAGTGTATCTGGTGTTCACCTGGGATCCTAACAAGTGTAGTGAGGAAAATAAGAGTAAGAGGACAGTTGTTAAAGCTACGCTTGAAATTAAGAAAGAGCTATGCTTGAATTAAGAAAGAGCTACGTTTGAAATTAAGAAAGAACTTATCGATAAGCATGAAATCTGTACATGTGTGGCTGATTTCACTACTATGTTCAGGGTGTCTAAATTGACTATCATTTTGAAAAAAAAAAAGGTGTCAAAACAGCTAAAGTGGTAATAGGGGTTAAAGACATTGACCTCTGGGAGATGAACAAAAATATGGATTGGAAGAGGGGACACATGTCTGTATTATTGAAAAATAGCTGGCTGGTGAAGTGATTTCTAAGGCAATAATATGTGAGAAGGCCAAGGTCCTCCACGATCGTTTATGGCAAAGGCATGAATGATACTAGTGCTCAAAAGGAGAAGTTTAAAGCCAGTAGGGGTTCGAGAATTTTAAGAAAAGGACTGGGATCTAATGAGTTTGTTAGGCCCAATAACGGATTAATCCAGTTTTTATTAATGTAAATAGATAAAAATGTCTTGGAAATCGAACGATTTGGTACTCAAACAGGGTTTTGGGACGGATTAAGTTTGGATTCCGAGTCCCCACTGTATTGTTAAAATTTATAAATTTGATTCTGTTGGTGTACATTTTAAGAAAGAAAAAAAATAATTGAACAAGTAAATAGTCCAATCCCTGTTAATTATTTTGTATTGATATGGTAACAATTTTGGTTATAGACCTCTATTATAATTGGACCTTATGCACATGATAGTAAAAATGGTACTATTATTAACAATAATTAAACTTAACTAATAAAAGCAACACAGACATAGATTTATCAGTTCAATCATTGAAATGATGAAATAACACTACATGTACACACTAGCAATTATTGCTTTAATTGCTAGCCAGCTGGGGCTAGCCACAAGTTTTTGATGATAGTATGCAAACAAATTAGAAATAAGAATGTCAATAAATAAAAGTACCGTCAGGACAGCACAAGTTTGCAAGTAGTTCTAAACTGACACCCTGAGCACTTAACAACTTATCCACTTCCGGCCATGCCATCTCACTTTCTAAAGATACTTCCTGAAAACACAAGCAGATATCATACTTCAGGAACATGATATTACTTTCTAAGTAATCATAACAAAGGAGCAAAAAATCAATTGTGCTTTTGTACTTGAGATATACATTTAGCATGCGGTTAGTACCAAAACACTAAGCCCTTTTCAGTTGATGAATCCCACAGTCATGGAATACTTTTACAGTCTGTATATTTAAAATAATAAATTAATTGATGACTTAACAGCCCACCTTTTAATCTGTTTACAAGATCAGTAGTCTAATACTATTATTTGCTGGCAGCCGTCCGTCACAATGTGATGATGGAGTGGGCTTCGGAGGACAAAATCCACATGGCTTGGGATTATTCTTCAAGGATTATAAGCTGGTTCCCAACAGCAAATCGCCTCTCTCCACGCCACTTGATAACCCAAGGGAACATCATTGGATGATACAGCTTGGCACCAGTGACGTCGCAGGAGTTGTCGGAATGTTTCATTGTATCAATGTTATCCGCCTTTCGGGACTCCATCTCCGAGTTTGAGTTCAGAGTTTCCTTCTCTTAGATGAGTTGCCATCCAAGGTTAACGTGTCCCATCCACCCCGGGTGCTGGTGTTGTTTTTGCTTGACTGGGCTCTGGCTGACTACCAACTTGAGATTTTGCTCAGTTTAGACCACTTGGCTACCCACCACCATACTATTATTACTAAAGTGGTCTTATATAGCACGGTACCGCAGCTAGGGCTAAGCTCACCGCACTTCACATAAAATTAGCAAAACGAAAAAAAAAAAAGCAACATGACATTAAAAAAACATTGATATTTAAGTGGTCTCTCACCTCCGCTGTTTGTTGACTACTTTGAAAAGCTGCATCTATGACAGCAAAACTATCCAAGTCCAATACCTCAACTATAGCTGTTATGATGCCTTTCATATAAGCAGATATGTCAATATCTGACAAGTTTAACAAAATTCCTGGGGGTGAAAAAGCAAAAAATAAACAAACCTTTGCTTCTTCTATAATTTAATGATATAATCTAATTTTTAAAAAGTATGTAAATGAAATCATTGGTCCCATATTTATATCCAAATAATAAAGTCACATGTAAATTCATACTTTATTTTTTTTTATATTCAGTGTGATATCCATTTTTATTTTCTATTTAACAACAGCAATGTCTTGTACCAACCTGTGGCTAGTGTTCTTAACAAAACAGCATCAATACCATTGGGAACAGTGGTAATTATGCTCAACAGATTTGAAACAACCTCTTGTACTTGACACAGAGCAGAAACTTCTTCATTGTTCTCACTGACCACATGCAGGCATCGTGCTGGAGATATATATATAAGAAATAGGGTATTAGAGAGGTTTTTACCAGTCCTTTTGCTGAAATCTGAAATTTGGAGGTTTATAACAAATGATATTTTTTAACTTATTAAAAACAACCAATAGAAAGAGAACAAAAATGGGGAGGGGGGGGGGGGCGCTAAAAAAGTTAGGAAGATAAAAACAGATTTCTTAACTGGTTAACTACCATGAGCCGCTCCCAGCGGCTCGGCATTTCTTTCGTTATGGCCACGAGCCGCTGGTAGTGCCAATGTTAGTATCGTAGTAAATTGAGTCGAATATTTATATTATTCCGTTCCCGTTTCGCTTCGAGATTTTAATTTACCGACAGGATGTTTATATTCAAAACTCATGCTATCGGCAGAATGTTTTAAAAAATGAAATTTTAATTGTTTAATTTCCTAGCTATTTACAAAAATGTACATGATGTTTACCGCTGCAACAAGTGACAGGGTTACTAAAGGCATATAAGTGATTGGAAGTGTAAATATTTTTCAATTTCTGTGCTCTTTGGTGCATTTTGCTTATTATTGGATATACTATTTGGAAACAATCAAATGAAAGGCTTTAAATGATTAGGAAATTTAAAATTTATACGTGAATTGCCACATTAATATATTTTTTATTGTTTTTCTATTGAAAATACTAATTTAATAATTATTAATTTCCTAACAAAACTTAACTTTACTAATGTTTTAAGTTTATATTATAGACAATTCAATTACCCATAAAATTGTTTATTAAGCATTAGAATATGTTTATAATTAAGAAAACGGCAGCTGAAATTGTACACATATCTAAAATGAGAAAATGTGACTTAGATTTAATTTGGCCACAGCGGGTTTTTCAATCTGGTAGTTAATCAGTTAACATCCTAAATTTACATGCCGGTATCCTCAGTAAAATGGTATATTCACTAAGCTATGTTATTTTTACTGATTACTACAGACACCTTTGACAAAGATATAAGTCCTCTACAAATAGTTTAACACCTACCCATGCCACATTGAGCGTAGATCAGTGTAATTGCTTAACAAGGACCAATGGCATATTAATTGGAGCCATGTTTGAGGGCTAACATAACATATGTCAAAACAACATACTAAGAAAACATGACTCTTTGCTTACCAACAGCAATGCACAAGGGATAACCATATGTTGGAACAGATAATAATGGTAAAATCAATGCTAACAACTTTTCCTTGTTGAACCATTGAACTGCCACACTACTACTTTCACTGTGGATATAAAAATTGATGTAATAAATTATATCAATATTCATATTTTAATGGTATGAATGATTAAAAAAGCATAAATATTCTATATTCGTTTTTTTTGTTTACTTCCTACAATGAGGGTAATCAAGGGCCTTATGTGCTGTCTTTGTGAAAATTTGTGATTCATGATTTATTGACCCCAGCATCAGTCTATTAAGAAATATAAATTTGCAAAGCTCAACTGAGGTACTATTGAACATACAGCCCATTTGAAAAAAGTAATAATATTGCATGGTCACAAATGTGCAATTGGGTTTGGTAGAAGTGGGTCAAAAGTAAGTGCAAAATGCTAAATCAAAATAACATATGTTAGACAATGAAGTCTTAAACTCAACCAACCATTAAGCTGCTTGATATAAATTTTGATTTCCAATAGGCTGGAACACATCCATCATACACATTTTTTATTATTACATATTGTATCTTATTGACCATAAAGACCATTGCCCATTACTATACAACTTAGAGTTAGAGGTTTAACAGACCCCTATATAGGCCAGGCTATTTGCTCAATGAATTTAATTTACCATAGATTTGACAGAAGTTCCACAGCTTCTACTAAAACATCTGTCCTTGCATCTGATTTGGTACTATCTTTCTGTGGTAACCAAGCATCCCCATACTGAAAAAAAATAATTTACATTATAATATAAATAAAACACGAATACAATCAAGCAGTGAAAAAAGTTTTTTTACAACAAAAAAAATTAATTAAATTGATCAAATAAATATGTAATGTAAAAACTACTTAATTAAAATTAATTAAATCTTGATTTGCTGACTGAAAAATTATTGCTTCATTATAGTCTACTTTTTTTAAAATTGAATTATTTTTTTATAAATACAATTTAAATTAAAATTTAATAAAAACTTCAGTAAATTTATAAAATCATATCAATAACCAAGATAATTAATTATAAATTAATTTTAATGACGTTATCAAAGGCTGATGTGTGAACGATATTTATGTTTTCATCAAGTTAATTTCAGAATTGAGAAAATAGATTTTGGTAAAACTTTAATAAAGTTTAGTACCTCTTTCAAGATTGCTGTTAAAGGTGTTAAAATGTCATGACGGATCATCACCTCACAGACATCCAACTGTCCATAAACACTCATGTTCCTGTAAATGTTGAGGGGAAAAAACTGTCTTCCAAATTATTTTGACAAGTAGTTTCAAATAGACTGTTACACAAAATATGGGTGTTTAAACTTTAACAAGATTATTGTTTTTAAAGTATAAATTTTTATTTGAAAAGACAATATTATCCCTGTTTAAAATAAATTTAAAAAGGTAAACATCTTATTTAACTGACCGCAAAGCACCAAGTGCACTTTTTCGCACATCCAAACAAGTATCAAGAAAGAGTGGAGCAGTAATTTTCACAGCATTTTCTTTGAGTAGATAACCTATGGCTTTTGGTTGGGATACAATACTTGCCATAAGCTGGCACCCACATGCTCTCTCTTCTGTACTTGTTCCTTGTAACTGTTTAAAAATGTAGGAGAAAGAAGGCATGAATTTGCATAGCATTAATAGCACAAGCATAATAATAATAAAGAATTTTGATTTTTAGACATTCTTGAGATAGAAAAATTATTGGGCGCAAAGAATGGCATGTTGTCTTGTAAATGACAGCAAAATTTGTATCACTCCACTTACAACCTTATGTTATAATAAAGTAATGTGCTATTTTGTTCTACAATTTAATTCTTTTTCTGGTGTATCATCAGTGATAATTGAGATAAAATTTAAGGGGATCCACAACCCAAATTATGCCATTTCATCTCACTTCATAATCATAGATACAGGAGGCTAATTAGTTTGTTGCATAATTACATTAATCTTAATGATTAACTATGCCCACTCAGCCTACGCCTACTACTCACTAGAAATTCTAATTAGGCTTTAGATTAGGCATATAATATTTCCATTTTACAAGGACTGCACCAGTTTATAATTTATAGGCAAATAATCAGTAATCTTCCATTTTCCCCAGTGGCTTTATTTATATATTAATCAGCCTACCAAAATTTTCTCAAGATATTAGATGTAAATCTAGATAGTTAAATAAAATATCGGATTCCATCAATTTGAACCAAATCAGGTATGTCCAAAACTCTAAGCTTAACACCTCACATACTGTCTATTGTGAAACCACTTTTCCTGAGCTTGATTTAAATTATAATGTAACCAATTCTTCAGATAATTTTCTTTAGTTATTTCTGGCCTTTGTGTGATGCATCACATGGTTCTTTCTTTTTAAAGTGCAGTTACAGAGTTTGATTGCTCACGAGTCACAACATTAGTTAACCGGTGCACTGAACTGCAGTCATATAAATTATAAAGTTCCAGACATAATCATAATAAATCATATGTATAATAAGGGCTTAATGAGAAGAATGGCCCACAATCTTTCATTCAATCATTGTAAGAGATTGTTCAAAGCCAACAAGTATTATACTTAATTATACTATACCTATGAATATGAATCTAGTTTTAAATGTAGACTGATGTTTTGTAAACAAATAAGATTTTTTGCAACAATTAATAATTAATTCAATTAGGATTTGTTATGGTTTTGGTTAATCATTAATAAATGAGAATGGCTAATTTATTTAACTATTTTTGTAATCATTTTTGCTAATAATAAAATGATAGCACCTGAATAATTCATATTTATAAGTTTTTAAAAAAAATTGAATTCCATCCAAATGTATCTTTAATTCTATAACTGATGAACCAATCACTGTTAGTAGTGTTAGTTTAGCTGTACTTAAATTTAAAGGCCAGCACTACATACACTGCGGCGGTGTACCTAGCTAAATCATTGTCTGTGGCCTGCGTACACCGCAGCGATTTAAAGTAGCAAAGCCATGGTCTTTGCGAGTCTTAAACTTTTTGGCCTAACTGGTACTTGTAGATTTAATGTTATACTCTTGTTAAAACTGAAAACTATATCTTTAAAATGGTTGAGTACCTTAGGAGGAAGCTTTTGAGTAAGTTCCACGCTTATAACTTGTGTGGCAAAGTACTTGTAAAGCATGGCTTTATTTATTGGAAGGGAGGGGGCTGGGGGTGTAATGTTAAACCACGATTTATTTTTAAAGTTAACCACTTTATTTCCCCCCATATATTAAAATACAATTTTATTTAATAATTATTAAAGTTTTATCCTATGATTGTGAATCTTAATAGGCATAAAAAGGGTAGCTAATTTGAAATTATTCTCCCCACCCCCCACAAAAAAAAAAAACAACAACAATTGGGGGGGGGTGGGGGTGGGGAGGCATGATAATAATAACATTATATGTGATCCCTCGGAGCGTGGTGTAAAAATGAAAGGGAAGCCAGGGTATCCATTTTTTTAGAACCAAGAAATAATTACGCAAACCATAAAAAGGGTTGTTAATTTTAATATTAATTCCCCCCCCCCCTCCTCCTCTAGTTTGTTTTTGTTTTGTTTTCTTTTTGGGGGGGGGGGGGCATTATAATTATAACATTGTATGTGATCCCTTGGGTGTGGTGTAAAAATGAATGGGAAGCCAGTGTATCTATTTTATTAACCTCAAGTTATAATTACGCCACAAATACATTACAGGCAGAGAATCACATGCGTTGATCATGAAGTTAAAGTTGTCCGAGGCATTGTTATTGTGATATCAAGCGATTGTCAACACAAAACAGTATGATAAATACAAAAAAGTGCAGTGATTTTTTAGTCTTTTAAAAATAATTAATATCACTGATTTAGTTTTACATTGGCATTACACATTAGTAAAATAATGCAGGCGGACATCAGCAAACCCCCCCCTCAACTACCCCATGATTTGTGTATGCCCCCCTATTGGTTAAGCCTCTGCCCATAACTCACCCTCAACACAGATCGATTTCTTAACAAAAAAAAACAACAGATGAAAAACATTGAAATAGTGAAAATCCTGTCCCAAGCAATGGTTTCAGTGAGACAACGTTGTGTTTTACCCTGAGAATAGCACATGCCATGCAATTCAGGAAACAAATTCCGTCATGAACAGGGTAGACCTATGGCTTTACTATACAGTCGCTACAGCGCCATAAGTTTCTAAAATTGTGGTGTTTTCAAAAGATTTGTTGTGAGACTGAGGGTTGTGAATGAACCAGGGATATCGCGTGTGAATTTTGCCAATGCATAGTGAAAGTAATATGGTTGAAATACGGCCATGCACATTAATATTCATATATTATTGATATATTGGTATTTTCTTTGGGTGTTCGTAAAACTAAAATGTAAATATTCAACTACATGAAGAATGTTGAAATATAATAAAATATCATTTAGTATTCAAAATGGTTCTCTAATGCATGTTACATGCTCACTATACATGAGCTTTCAGAAACTTTCAGTTTGTTTTCTAATTCTAACGTCTTATTACCGCTATTTTCAAAATCAAAGGCTGGCACAACTTGTTGAAACACTTAATTTAATAATCTGAATATAATATAACATAGGCTACATTTGTAAAATGTTTAAATTGCTACAAAATATTTAAAAACTTCTCATGAAACTACTGTTCCAAATGAACATAATAATTTAAATATAAAATATTTTGAATTTAAATGAAAAGAAAAATTCGATCCCCTACTGAGCCTACTGGGAATTGATCTCAAAATATAATATCGCCAAGCGTCTACAACTTGACCACACAAGATTGTCAACAGTGAACAGGCATATCTTAAAACCAGGCCAATGGTACATTTTTGCCGCTGTGTAAGCCTAAGACCATGGTTTTGTTAGGTACACCGCCATGATGTACGCAGGCCTAGGTCCATGGTTTTGCTAGGTACACCGTCACGCCGTCACGGTGCTAGCAACCACTTCGAAATTTAAATCATCTTACATTTCACCACAGTACAATACCGGTAACTCATGGCTTAGACTTAGTTGCCAAAGTCACTGCTTTAGTTTATAAACTGATTGCGCATTCTCATTCATGTAAATAAAATAAAAACCTTTTCCATTATATTTGTTATAGCTGCAGGGGCTGCATGATTGTCATCCTCTCCCCTTAGCTCTGCCTCCTGCTCCATCTCTTTTTCACTTTTCAACCCAGTTGGAGATGGTTTGAGAGACCCAAACCGCTTAGCCTTACTCTTTCCCATAATGAATTAATTATGGAAACGGCTGTTAAAACAATTATACATATGACAATGAAATAGCCCAAGGCCTAAATTCTGTCTAATAATAAATCTGGATTCGGTTGACTGATGTCTACTAGTAGACTGCAATGCGTAAACAAATAAACCATGTGTTAAGAACTTCCCGTTGCTTGTTGGTACAATTTCTATATGAATAGAAAACGATTATGTGAACTTTTCCAGTAAAGACTTCCAGGCCAAATCAGGCAGAGGTGTACCCAGTGATAAATTTTGGCATAATCACATAATAATTTTGCAGCTTAAAGGATATTAATTTTTATTGGAAATTATAATGTCAACCTAAATTTGAATAGATAGTTGACTTAGTCTTACAATTCCTGTAACATTCGGCACTCTTTCTAATTAACTCCTTTATCCACTCTCTTACAATTAATAATTAATTATTTTATATCCTTTCTTACTGTACTAGTACTAGCGTTGGCATTGGAGGAGCTAAGAGTGGGAACGAACGATTTTTGGGGTAGGTATTTTCAGTACTCTGAATATAGTAAGTAACTGGATATATTTAATGTGCATTCGGTACGAAAAATATTTAGGAATTTGTTCCCCTTGCCAGTGGAGGATTTTTAATTACATACAAGTTATCCCTATATTAAATTATATATATATTGAATGTTGTATGTAAAAAAAAATGGGTTTGGTCCAATTAAAATGGGGTGGCGCTGCCTTAGATTACTACCGATTGAAATTATTATTCCGAAAAGAGGGTTAAGGGTAAAGCTAATTACACATTTATTGTTGCTTTAATGTTTGTCGTCTGCTAGAAAATACAGGAAAGTGAATGTAAACACGAGAATGTCTTTGAAAGAGTGTAGCATTGCAAAAATCAACTGAATTTAGTTATAAATTAAATTGATTAAAACGTTTCTTCATGTAAAATTTTTTAAATCATATGCCACAAAAACGTTAAATGAGATTTAAATTAAATTATTTAAATTTAGTTTAAATTCAACTCGCATAAGTAAAAAGTAAAAGAAGAAATTATAATTTATCCAGCTAATCATAATAATGATTTATTGATAATGATTATGTTATTCCTTCTCACTTCTCTGTTATTAATATTATAGTTTTTATTTAATCAGTATTTGTTGTCAGTTTTGTTTATAGAAGACAAATTTTCCTTTTGACCCTTTTCTTTACTAGGGAATAAGGTACAATTTACAAGAAAGTTTCAACTTTGGAAGAAGAAAAAAAAGTTGGGTGATGGGCAAAGTCAAAGTACAATTAGTATTACAAGAATAACAGTATTCTCTGGTTTAGTTTTGCTCATTTAATTTTACTAAAAAAAATAAAATTATTATTTTCCCCCAGAAATGCAAATTTAACACATTCACAAGATAGTGTTATTATGGAGCCAGCTATATTTTTTGCACAGCCACCAAGTCTTGATGAGCTTTGCAGCATAACTGTATCAACTGAAAAAATTATTTATTCCTGGTCCAATGCCACAATACAAGCTCATATTGTAAAGTGCAGGTAATGTTAGTAAAAATTAATAAAATAAAGTGATTTAATACTTTTTTAAAAATAATTATAAATAAATAATACATTTTGTCCAATTAATTGTTTTCTTTAATATTTTTAATTTTTGCCTACTGGGTCACTGAAGTTGTGGGCATTTTTTGGGGAAGAATTTGATTATAGTTTAATCTACCAATTTTTTTCTTATGCGTCTCTAAATTTTATAAATTAAAAAAAAAATTTACCACCACACATGCCGTGACATGCCGTGACATGCCATGGCAGCAGGGCCGGCCCTATGCGAAACGGATTGCGGGGGGCCCAGTCTGGGCCGCACAGGTTGCAGTGGCCTAAGGCCGGCCCTGAATGGCAGCCTGCAATGTTTCTCTTAAACTTAAAAATGTAATAAAAATAAGCTAAGAAATAGTGTTATTTTTTAAAATTCCATTCCTGTTAATTTGATATTAATTAGCAGTTTATTAATTTTTCATTGAATACAAATTGTATAAAATAAAAAGGTACCAATAAAAATATGTTAAATATTTATATGAAGGCACATATTTAAAAGCTTGCCTTTCTTAAAAAATAATGGGATTTGCATTTTATTGGTCTCATATTCATTTATCTATTGAAGGAGGTCAGGGTGTATTTATAGTTTTCACTTTATTATATTGGTGGTGGGTGATAAGGTTTTAAAATATCAATCTTCTATTTAGCTCAAGTCTGTTACCTTCTCAAACAACATGGCTGCTCAGACCAGAGATACTATAACTAATGGACAGCCAACTTCCATTTTTTTCTGGTTTAAAATAAGATGACATGCACCAAAGATACTTGCAATGATTCCAGAGTCCATTAGAACATGATGTTTCTCAAAAATATATTTAATACAATAAGATCAATTTTTTTTCAGACCACAAGGGTTAGACTAGAGATTTTTTTTTTAAAATGTCAAAAATATGTATCAGAAGAAAAGCTTCTTACTATCTGTCAAACACATAGTATTCACAATGGTAAAGAAAAAAGTTAAATAATTTGCAGTCCTTTAGTTATATGATCTCTGCTCATATTTGACTTTAAAATTGCCTCATATGTATGTTCTATATTATGAAAGCTATTATCTTCAATAAGTTCTGTGTAGCATTTAAAATATATTTTAAGGATTGGCTTACCATATAAAATCAAAATGCATGCAAACTGCAATAAATTATTATATAATGCACCACATCGAATAACTTTCTAACGTAATTTTTACACTGTGAATTTTTAAGGCTAAATAGTAATTATTCTACTATATAAAGTTGGTTTTTTGGAAGAAAATTTTATTTCAAAATAATTTTTAAAAAGACTATTAATGGGACCAACATGTTCTAAATTCACTCATCTTCTCTGTCTGCACATGAACACAGCATGGAGGGAATATTGACAAGGACTAAATATTTTTTGAAATGCTTTTTTGCTTAATACTTTTGTTTTGTAACTGAAAACGTATCCTCTTTTGATGTTTTCATCTTAATTTTACTTCAAAAGGGAGGTGATTTTTACAGAACCTGATGTAATATGCTGTCCTTCTTGTTACTCAGACAACAGCTTCAGTGTCATAATGAAGGTATTTATATGGATTAACTCAGCGGTCCTCAAAGTGCGCAGTATCCCAGGGAATGTTGAAAATTTTGGTGGTGCCTAAGAATTTATCTTGCACGACTTTTTAAATTAAAATTATATTTTTACAAAAACAATGATATACTGTTTTTATTGATAGCAACAAATTTAGAGTGCAGCATAAGCATCAGACTGAGATTGCACAATTTATTTTCACATACAAAGAAAAGACCTTTAATCTAAATTCAAATCAGAAGCATTGGCCATTACCAAAGATAGATTTACACTTTAAGTAGTAAATGGACTTCAGAAATGTGCAGAAGAACCAAATAAGTTTTGCAATATCTCTCCTAGTCCATACTTTGTTAGGCATTTTGCCATAGGTTGCACTAGCTTATAGTAAGAAGGTAAACCTCATCTATGGGTGCGCTTTGATAAAATTGCTTCCAAGGTAAGAGGAGCTATTTACCATATGCCTTTCATCATATACTCAAATGTTGGAATCAATGTAAGGTTTTCGAGGAGCTGGCTGGCATGGGACCTCAGTCTTTTTAATGTAAAGTTTATGTCTGCATTTGAGAAATTAGCAACACTGCGTTGCATATATATATGCTTCTGATCCAAGGGTTTAGGGCAAAGTCATCAATATACAGGAAGTCTCTGATGATGTCTGTCAGTACCTTGGATTTTGCATGTAGCAATCTCCTGAGATTGAATAGCTTACCATCAGTTCGAATTATGAGACCTATTCCAAAATCTCCCTGTCTGAAGGAATCAGTCAGTATGGTGGAAAACATAAGGTTAAAAAGTGTTGGAGCCAGGACACAGCCTTGTTTGATGCAATTTGCCACAGGGAATGGTTTAGACATCTCCCCATTTTCATGAACCCAAGCCTGCATACCATCAATTACTGTAACATGGATATGACCTTTCTCTGGGGCATCCATATTTGGCCATGTTCTTCCAAAGACCTTCTTTACCAAAGTGTCAATAGCCTTTTTCAGGTCTGCATAGGTGGAGAAAAGGTCTTAGTTTGTACTTTTTGTAACATATGAAAATTGGATCAATTGTTGTTATTGCAAAATAGCCAGAAACAGCATGATACCATCAGGTTGTCAATATTTATTGTTGCTTCAACAAAAAATATATTCTGTTTAGTAACACTATTGTAATCGATTAAGAACTGCAGAGACTAGTTGCTATTATAGGTTGTTGCCAATGGACAAAAAATATCAAATATCTGAACCAATCATTGTGTCCTGTAATGCCTAAATCTGGTTGTAAAATCATCTGATTAAACACCCTCATTCAGTGGTCGATTGGGGGGGGGGGGGGGAGTATGGAGATGGGAAACTCACCCCATCAAATATCTGAACCTATCATTGTGTCCTGTAATGCCTAAATCTGGTTGTAAAATCATCTGATTAAACACCCTCATTCAGTGGTCGATTGGGGGGGGGGGGAGTATGGAGTATGGAAACTCACCCCCGAACACAAATAATACATATTTATTTGTCTTAGCAAAATAAAAAGTTCAGGGAGGCTGTTCAGGACTAAAACCCTACTCTTATTGTTACTGCAGTTAATTAAATTTATGTACACTCTTTTAATAAAGAACTATTCTGTTTTGAGAGTAAGGAATAATTTGTACGCTATCTGTTTGATACTGAGGGTCTTTGGCATCAAAAGGCAAGGGATGATTAACTTTTACAAGCTATTTGATAAGGTTGGGGAGCGTTGTTAAAAACACAAATGCTTCTTTTGGTAATGACCTAAAAGAAATCATGCATGGGATTGCTTTTGTATTAGACATATTTAATTAAACTTAGGTCAATAAAATAGAATTTGCAGAAGCAGGGTAATGAAAGTCAATCTAATTAAAACTAGATCTTTCTTCCATAATTTGGTACCAAAAAAACCCTCCATTAAAGTGCAATGCTAGCCATATTGACTGTTAGATTAACTAAAGAAGTTTCCTAAAAATTATCGATCTTAAAAAAGCTGATGAATCAATGGATAAAAATTAAAAATTACTCTAATACATGTTATATTTGTACATTTATTGTGTAGCTACATTGTCATGCAAACCATTATACTAAGAATGCTTGTCATAACATAATTATTATAATGAGATAAGAAATAGGGCGCTCACAGATTCTTAATGACACCATGTGGGTGGTGGACGGAAAAAGTTTAAGAACCACTGTATTAAAATTGTATTTAAAATAAATAATGGAATTCTTTACTTGCGTTTATTTAATTAATGCATTTATTGATTCCATTAATGAATTTTTTAGGCTTATCTGCTCAATTATCTTTGAATAACAGTTGTAAAAATAAAAATAAGTATGACCTGTTAATATATTTTCATTTTTGTTTTTCATCTAATGATCTTTAAGAGATATTTTATTTTACCCTCCAGCAAAGCTTCTTTAAAACAGGCAAACTTCAGTCAAGATTACAGAAGCAAGGGATTCAGGTAAATTCTTTTATTAATAGAAAATTAGTTTTCTACCTAAATTTATAGTGGATGACTGTTATTCTCAAAAATTTTACATCAGAGGACCACATTTTCAAATCACAGTTAACACTCTTCATCTAAAAGCATAATAATTTAAATTTAAAATCTTTACATGCTGACGATGAAGTAATTGAATAATTATCAGTTGTACAAGTTGTTTTTCTGTGCAGCATAACCATAAAAATTTATGGATTTTGAAATAAGAGCAAACTGTTTGTCCTCAAATTTATTTGTCGCAATGACATCAAAATAGTAAATGGAAACTTATGACAAGTCTCAAATAACAAATATTTAGTGCTAAAAAATTTAATTTTATAATTGTTATTTTAATTTAAAATAATTTATTCCCCTACATTTAAACTTTTTTTCTCTACAGATCAGCAAACCTTTTAGAGTTAATTTCCCTTTATACCAGTCCTGCCTCAAGTATACATTAATTGCAAGATTAGCACCAACTTGGAACAAAGCTGGAGAATGGTTCATCCAAGGTTTCTTTGTAAAATGATTTGCTTTAAAAAGAATAAATGTTTGTTTCTAATTATTATACACTCTTCTGCTAAATATGATAAGTTCATTAACTGCTAAATTTGGCAGCAATAGAGTATGAATTAAATATTTGGTGTATTTCTAACATAACATCTTTATCAATATTTAGATATATTGACGTTTGATTGAAACGTGTATTTTGTAAAACAAATTGAATTAGTGGTATGATTTTTCAAAGGTAATTTTATCTCTTTTGAAGGTAGTTAATTAGTTTAAATTTTAATGCATGTAGGTCTATAAATAATTCAGTTAAAAGCTGCTAATTAGGCATTTGCTTATACTTATATCAATTTATTTTTTCCGTTTTTTTCCATCATATGCAAAAAAAAATGAAATCCCTTAGTGAAAATAATGTCTTATTAGTGATCTTTTAGATTTGGTAACTGCTGAGGAAGCACTCTGGCATATTCTTAAAAGACTGGGAACAAAATAATTTTTATATCTTTCTGTCCTAACTTTAAGAAAAGGAATTCGCTCTGATCAAGCTTATCTTAGGTACCTGTGATGAAGAATATGGGTTTTATCATCCAAAACGATATTGGTTTTACAACAGCATTTTTCTTCAAATAGTTCTTCAAGTGAAAAATGTTTAGTTTGTGTTATATATATATATTAGCTTTCTTGATGTGTCTATTTAATCGGTGTTTGATGTCAGGCAATGAATTCCCACACCAGCAGGTAATACTGAAGCTTAGTTCACTGTAGAATAAGGTAATAACTTGTTTGTTTACACCGCAATTGTACAGTTTTTTTTAAGGTAGAAAAAGTCTTTGGTTAACTTTTTTTTTAACAGAATTCAGCAGTGTTCTTGCCATATTAATGGTGACACCTAGGTACTTATATGTCTCTACTTGCTCTATACTGTGTGTTTGTGAGATCTGCAATCGGGTGAATCCCCCTCCGGAAATTGACAACCATTTCTATCATTTTTGAGACATTCAACTTAAGAAAATTTTCATAGCAGAAACTGAGAAAGCCTGCAACTATGTTTCAGTATAAGCTTTCCCCTTCAGATATTAAGCCAAAGATGGTGGTATCATCTGCAAATTTAATGATTGGAACAGTGTTGCTTAGGCTCTGGACATCATTGGTATATATTGTATTATTTGTATACAGGGTAGGGGAGAGAAAATAACCTTGTGGCACCCCAGTACTTATTTCTCAAGTTAATATTTGGTCGTTCACTTTGACATAAAGTGGGCAATTGGTTAAAAAGTTCTGTATCCATGCTTGAATATTTGAATTTACATCTAATGAAGAGAGCTTTTTAATCATAAGCTAAGGTTGGACAGTGTTAAATGCTGTGAGAGGTCTAAAAAAAGCACCCTAGCATATTTTTAGGGCTGTCTAGATGATTCTAAAGTCTTTCAAATAATAGTAAGATGGCATCCTTGATACATCTGGAAGATTTATAAGCAAATCGGTGAGGGTCAAGTTTTTCTGTACGTCATTTAAAATTTGTCTGAGGATAAGTTTCTCAAAACATTTCATTACAATAGAGGTAAGTGCAACAGGACATTGGTCGTTATTGCAAGTGACTTTATTTTTCTTTAGAGTTAATATAATTTCTGAAGATTTCCACACCTTTTGTATGGAATGAGTTTTATAGGATTGATTAAATATGTAACAAAAAAATGTAGGCCAGCTGTTCTGAGTAGAGTTTAACAAGCCATCCACTTCATTTGTCTGTCCCTGAGGCCTTGGCTACATTCACTTGTTTAAATATTGACATCATGTCCTTTTCAGTGAACAATATTTGATCATCCTGTGTAATACTGCTATTGCTAAATTTTAAATTAAGGTCACATATAAGACTTGATTCTAGCAGTCGACATGAAAGCCTACACCCTAAAATTCATTCTCTGCTGCAATTTTTGAAAGCTGAATTCATTGTGTAGGATTGAGAGGTGTACTGAGGACTAATAGTAATATGTGAAAAAAAACTAAAATGTGCCCCTATCAAGCTTGGGAAACCTATTTTTATATAAATAAGATTTACCATATACCAGTAAAGACAAGTAACCAGATTCGATTGCAGTATTTTAACTTATTCAGTACATGTAAACTAACTTGTAGGCTAAAACGAAATTGTTTTTAAAAAGGGATACCATATACAAAGTCTTTTTCTATCTCGCCATTTTAGAGCCACCCCTTTAAGTAATTCCCTCAACATGTGCCGTATCTTGCCACACCTTCAGTAAGCTACTCGTCTGATTTTAAAAGTACATATCTTATGAGTATTTTTTTAACTACTAATTGATTTTTTTTCAACTGCACAGGCAGAGACTTTTTAGTCCATGATGGTTACAGTAATGCTATAAGTAAGTATTTAAATTTGTGTGCACTTTTATAACCCTCAAAGAAAATTATTAAAATAATTTTTGTTGGATTTTAAAATTTAATTAAAATTGAACATTCTTTTATCCTAGAGATGGATCTTTGCGTAAATAAAGATGAACTCTTAGTATCCTTAACTGGGACAGCTATACGATTTCCTCCTTTACAAGTATGTTTACTTCTTAAGTTTAAACAAATGTGTATTAAAAATAAAAATGCATAATTTTATTCCTTATTCGAATCTGAAACTTTTATACCACTCATTAATGAATTTGTATTATATTGTTTCTAATTCTAAAATGGAACCCTTTGTTTTCAAGATTGAGGATTTGAACCTAAGCAAACAAGAAATGATGAATATTTTAAAAGCTACTGAAGGAGAAACTGATTTTGCAGGATGCTTTTGCCATGTTTTACCAAGGTATGAGTATGTGTCAAAGTATAAATGTATATTTTACAAGAAGCCCTGTTTGAACACGGAAAGTGCGATTAAACCCAAATTTTTTTTTAAAAGTGCAATTTTTTTAGTTATACAACTGTTTATGTGCAATTATTAGACAACTTACAAATTATTTGTCATAGCTAGTCAACAAAAGTTATTGTAATAATGTGAATAGCATGAATCGAGGACGAATTTCATCAGTGTCTCTGACCATTTCAAGATCAAGTCCATTTTCATCATATAAAGATCTAAAGCGACATTGGAAAAACATGGTGACTATTTGGCATTCTTTTCAATTAGTTTCCACTTCTTTTATATATTGAATTGTTTCAGTTTACTTGTTTTATGTATAGGCCTACCAGTACCAAGAAATGCCCTTTTAAACAAATTGTAATTCCTAAAAATAGATGCATCAGCATTTTGTTTAAACTACTCCAATAATCCTAGATTTTTTAGATTTACATTAGGGTTTGGGAATCAGAACTTAATCTGTGTAAGAACCCTTTTCAAGTTTCAAATCGTTCAAATTCCATGACAATTTATATCCTTTTAGAAATAATAGAAACTTGATCATCAGTTCCCGAGTCCCACAAACACTATGGATCCCAGTACTTTTCTTTAAGTTGTCTAACCACCCCTACTGGCTTTAAACTCCTTCTTCGAGCATTAGTATCAGGCATGCCTTTTACTAAATCATCGTGGACAACCTTGGCTTTCTCACAAATTAACATCTTAGAAATAAGATCCCCAGTCAGCTGTTTTTTATTAAACCATTGCATCCATACTTTTCGATCTGCTTGAGTTCAGTATTGTAACCCCTTTCACCAAATCAGCTGCTTTGATGGCTTTTTTATTTTTCAAAATCGTTCAAAAATTCAACTTAGGCATCCCGAACATAGTAACAAGATCAGCAACATGTGTACCGCTTTCATCCTTAGCGATAAGATATTTCTTAACTTCAATTGTAGCTCTTACAGCTGTCTTCTAACTCTTATTATTTTTCTCACTTCATTTCTTAGAAACCCATGGCGAAGACACTAAGTTTTTGTTATGTAAAAGCATAAAATTAGTAGTAAAAATCACACAAGATGCTTTCTCTACAGCATCCAACTACATCCCTAGCACTGGGGAAATGTATGTACAATAAACACAAAAATTGCAGGGCATTTGAAGGCCGAAGTAGCTTCAGATTTTGAACGTAAATTTGTTACAAATATTGGTTTGGATTCCAAGTTGTTTAAGTTCTAGGGAGCTTGGTTTCTGAGGCCCTACTGTAATTTAGAAGCTAATTATGTTAATAAAGAATTCATAATTATGCTCAATGTTTAACCTAAATTTCAAATGTTTAACTAGTAATAAATATATGTTTATTGCATTTTAACACTAAGACATGATGGTTGCGGATATAAAATAATAATTCAAATATAATCTGAAAGAAGATTAACTAGATTATTGCTACATGTGTATGTCACAACTATTTTAAATATTTTTGCATTGTTTTTATTTTTTAAGTCTACACGATTTCCCCGTGCGTGAACTTGGCTTTGACCTAAATTAGATCCCTAGCAGACGGTAGCGTTTGTTGTGGGCGTGGTTTAAATTCTCTTTGATGTATCTTGTTTACAACTGACGGCCAATTACACATTGGTTAGTATGCCTACTAGTGTCTTATCGAAGGTTCTCGATTTGTTCTGGAAAAGTAAAGGCGTCTGTAGACCCACATATATAAATGATTGACAGGCACAGAGGGTCGGAGATTCAGATGGAGATTCAGATCAGATATTATTAACTTTACGAGGCGTGTATTATTCTTTGTGTATTTGTGTGCCCATATGTGTTTATTTCGCATTTCATCATTATTCATTGGCACATTATACTAACTGTGTTAACTGTGTACCTGTACAAGATCTACCATACTGTAAGTTGATGATTTATAATTATATTTCTTTTGTTTTGTTATTGTATTAATACTTAATAAATCTTATTAATTGTGGCTAGCAACTGTTTTGGGTGTCGTATCTTTAATATTGTTGACTCTATGGTATCGTCCTTTGTTAGGCACTGTTTACAACGAGCCAATAAAATTAAAAAAGGAGATTAATTTCTCATATTAGAAGCCAGTGCTTAACAATTGGGTTGATCCTCCGGGATATAGCGGACTCCATATTATTATTTCTCTCAAGTACCCAATTTTAACAATTGGCGTAGCTCGTCCGCTATAACCGAATCCATATTTTATTCTCATTGGTCCCCAATTTTAACAGTATGTTTTCTTTTCCCATGACTATATGCATAGCACATCAAAATTAATTATTTCCCTAATTTATTGTGAACTGTGGTTATTTTTGGAAATTCTAGTATGGTTACAGACTCCCTGAGACAGATGAAGATGTTTTGTACTGTCAAGTAGGATTCCTCACATCAAGTTGTGGAAAGCAATTTATGTATACTTAATAGAATTTCTGTGACAAGATTGAGTGTAAGCTGTATATTATATTTTGGTATAAATTATAATGCAAGAAAGGAATACTCCATCAAAAATGAAACTTAACTCATCACAAGATATCCAAATATATGTCTAAGATCAGGCCCTCTACAAGTTATTCCAAGAGTGGACCCAAAACCAATTCTAACCATCTTTCTGCAAGACATCCATAGCAGAATGACATCAGTTTGTGGTACATCTCTCAGGTTTCAACCTAAGATTCGCTTTGCTGCACTATCTTTACATCGTGCAGGACAGGTCATTATATGTTTTAACTTTCAACAAATTGTATGGGATTTATTTTAATGTATAGTAAGTGCTTTAACTTCACTAAATATGAGACAAAGAAATAGTAATACAGTCATGCATTTCTGTGACAAAGCTGTTAAAATGATCCACTTTTTTTCTTCTTCTAGACATGTGTCAAAAATGGCATCAGCCTAGCAAGCAAACCTCAAAACAAAGTCACTAGTAATTTTCGGAATGTCAAAAACATGCTTTTAGTTAACCGTGGTTCTGAGAGTGATAAGAAAACTATGCAAGAGAGACTTTGTGGAAGTAAAAGCTTTTCCATGGAAAGTCCAATAAACCAAACAACAGTTTTATTGAATTACATGTGGGAAAAACAAGAAAAGTCCTTTTCACAAAGCTGTGAAAAGACTGATGCTAAATTATCCCAAGAGGTGCAAGATGCAGCTAGAAAAGTAACTCAGGCAGTTATAGCTATTGCTACAAATGTTTCCCCAATTATATCAGATGTAGTAGTAAATATTGCTCAAACTGCAGAAATTGTAGATGGAAATGTGAAACAAGCTAAAAAAAATGCTAATAATACAGGTAACACACAAATTATCTGCCAACCTGTTTCAATAACTAAGGATGATGAAAAATCCCAAGAAAGTGCAACAATTTCAGTGCATGAAGTAGGGTTCAAAACAAATCATAATTTTTTACAAGATATAGAAGAAACCCCAAAGACCAAGTTTGTTCCCATTTTTAGAACTAAATCTAAGCAGAGTTTCTTTCAGAAGTGTTCATCTTCAAGTATCAATAACAGGGAAAGAGAGAATTATGTAAAATCTTTTATTCCTTCATTTAAACCTAAGGTCATAAAGAACTCAAATGTCAATGATAAAATACCTTCAGGCATCTCTTCATCATTGCAAGTAACTTCTACCAACAACTGTAACAATTCAAATTCAATAGTAGCATTATTCAAGAAACCCAAAAATCAACCTTTACCAGCTCATTCAGCTTCAGCAGATACTAAAAATAAAGATCAGTCACACCTGCAACAGCTACAACAACCAGGAACACAGAAAAACAATAAAAATAGGGTACAGGCAATAACTAATGGTGGAATGCGCCCAATCAATGTCACAAAAAGTAAAGAGCAGATGGCACCAGATCTAACCAACTACAGAGATACTGATAACTCCACACCAAAATCTAGCTGTGTCTCAAAGAGGAAAAGTGTGACAGAGGTAAAAAATATAATGTTACTGTTTATGATTGTTTCATTAAGATGCTAAATTTTTTGTTTTTTTTAACTTGAGATCCAATCTACATGTTCATATGTACTCTATGCATAAGTATGTCTAAATATTGAAAGCAAGTATTACACTATTTTTGTAAAGGGAGACGCCACCCCAAAGAAACCAAGACCAAAACCACAAGTCCATTGCTTGGATGTGGAATCACTGGCTAGAGCAAATCAAGTAACTATTAGAGTTTTTATAAAAGGCATTGTGATTGACATTTTGTTGGATAAGCAGCTTTAGGGAGTAAGTTTAAAAAAATAAATTATATTAATACGTTTTGTAACATTGCCCTCACCAAAAGGTTATGCCAGAAGTATCAGATTTCATCTTGGACTTGGGTAAAATAGCAGGGTAATCAAGGAAGCTATTGTTACAAATGAGGAAAATGCCTCAACTATCAAATTTGGAAGACAGAAGCTACTTTTTGTGTAATAAGCGCATTTGCTGCTTCTGAGAAAATAACTAGAAAAATTTATATAACAAATTTGACATCACCAAAATGAAACAATTTTTTAGATTCTTTAAATGTCTTAAAAAGATTTATTTTATGAATTTGAAGAATAACTTCTCATGTGTTGTCTCCAGCACCATCATAATTTTTTTTAAAAACCTACAGGTTGATTATACAATGATTATCTGACTTTTTTCTCTACATCCCTTTTTCTCCAGCTGAATAAGGTGAATGCTGTGACCTTGGTGGCATGGCTGAAGGAGAGGGGTGTGATCTGCAAGGCAAAGGACAAAAAGCCTGACCTCATTGAAAGAACCAAGAAATATTTAAATATTGTTGATACTGAGCCATAATTTGTTTATTTTAAAATAAATCATTTAACATTCATTTTTATTTTTTGTGAGTGCTGGCATATAAAATTGTGGATGTGATAGGAGTTTATGTTCCAAACAATTTGTTTTCCATATGGGTTTTCTCAGCCATTGCTTTATTAAAACAGCACTTTTAATTACCAGGTACTCCTTTATGGAGATTTTTTTATTTTTGAAACATTCATCATAAAGTAGAGCCTTTCACTAAGTACTGACACTTGGAATGGAAATATTCACTTCAAACAATAAGATCAGGTTAATTATTTTATTTTACTCTTTAAAAAAAAAGCATTTAACAGAAAATAATATATTTCCTTGAAACAAGAAATCACTGTTGTTGTTCAGTTCAACAATTCACAGATTGTATTTAAAGATGTAAATTAATCATTAAACTGACTTAGGGAAAAAATTGTTCATCCCACAAAACAATGTATTTTATAACAAAAAATGATATTTTTTTAATACAGAAAAGATTCAAAGAATTTGAAATTAAAATGTTATTTATCACCAACAAAGGGATATATTTTATTAGGAAATGACGTCTTGTATTATGTTTTGGTAATGCTGAAAGACATTTTATATAGACCTTGTATTGGGACTGCACTGCAAACACTCAACATTTAAAAACAAAAAAAGACATTGAGGTGCAATAAGAAGAATATCTTCTTGTCACTTAAATATTCAGAAACAGAAAAATGTATTCACTATCATACTTATGCAACTCAAAATACAAATACTTGAATTACTTTTTTTTAAAAACTTCTGCTATAACTTCTGAAAATGCTTTTTACTTAAAGTTAAAGGGAATTAGCATATGATTTTTTTTAAAACTCACATTGTAAAAATAATCCGGTAATCATGTACAGTTTTGATTATTCTGTCATAAATGATGCTCTCATAAAATTTAAATAAATCAAGTTGGTCATCCTTTAGTTATAGGTTAATCCAACAAAAGGATTACAATTTAACTATAAATATCATGTAGTTGTTAGGCTTTTACATCACACATGACTTGAATAACGAATGAAATTTTGTCGAGTTCTCAAAAAAGTAATTAAAAGCATTTAGCACTATTTTGTTTATCATTCGGGGCAATTTCACATATGTATAGATCTGATCAAATATGTTTTCATTCAAATATCAGTGCATTGCCCATATACTTTTAACATTGAAGTCAGAAAATTTACTCTGTATAGTAACAACTCAGTTTTCATTGTAGATAGCACACATTTAAAATACAAACATTATGGGATATCAGTGACTGATGTAATGAAAACAATGTCTCGCCTAAGCTTAAGCAGACAGCATTTTAATACATAAATGTCAATGAAAATCACAGTAAGACCTATGTGTAATGACAATTCATCAGCTTAAAATAACACATTGACTAAAGGCCACAAGCAGTAAACATTGAAATGGTACAGAGCCATCAATTAATTCATGTGTAAATACTAATACAGGCTCACAGCTTTTGTATTCGATAACAGAATATATAAGATACAATAATAATAAACAACAATGAACAATTCAAATAAAAATTACCAGAGCATATTTTTTAAAACTAAAACTGAATATCATACAAAAATTACACATTATTGCACAACCTGGAACTGATTATGGGCTTTAAATAATGCTAAATGATACATTGAAAATAACATTAACATTCACACTAAATAATACAACAACACACATTTATGAAATTGGTATGCATCTATAGCTTATAAACTTAAAAACAATATTCACTAAAATAACTTAATTTTAATGTCACACTTAGCAAGCAAAAAAAATGGAGCAAAACAATGGATTATTGATGACAAAATGGATCCTTAGAATTTAAATATCTACAAAAATAGCACAGATGGTAAAGATCCTTGGTTCTGAAAACCAAGACTTAACTCATATCTACCTAATGTTCAATATTGCTATTCATATTTATTTTCAAATATTGATATGTCATTATGAGCTTGATGGACCCCCTTTTTAAAGAATATAAACAGAAACCATATTTCATACCTAAAGTGTCATGGAAGGTTTAACGAAAAGAAGTGCATCTTTTTTTCTCACAAGGAGAGAAAGGATGCCAAAGATATTTGAATATTTTCTAAACGCCTCCAAAACATCAATCATTTCCAACTGATGACTGTCTATTTCTATTTTAGAACATTTTAAGGAATAATTTACTTAAAGGCTAACCAACTGTTGTAAAGCCATTTTTTTCTTCCCAAAATAAACACTAAAATGCCATTATGATTTTTTGCCTAGTAGTCATGAAGCAGACTCATAGCTTCAGCAGCTTTAGCTCTCACAAGTGGGGAAGCATCTTTCAGAAGCAGAATAAGAGCTGTAAACAAATAAAAGCTCCATTTGTAGTTCTTTCATTACGATGAAATTTAAGTTTCATAATGCTTTGCCTATTTCTATATTTTAATATTATTAGGTTAGTTTAGAAATTGTGGTTAACTATCACAAAGAAATAGTTATCAATTCAAAAATTATAATAAGTATTCAATACTTAATTTTTCATTAGAAGTCATACATAATTTGTTAAAATTTTAGTAGAAAGTGTAACAAAAATTATCATTTATAAAGGAAGAAAATACACAACTTATATCTTTTATAATAAAAATAAACTCTAATTTAGTATGTATGATATTAGTTCCACATTGCCTGAATAAGCTATATCTCACCTGAACAGATGTGTTCTTTAGTTATGTTAGATTGCATTTCTTTAGGCAAGTTTCCTAAAAGAAACCCTGGAGAATAGTAAAAGATTGATGTAAAAGACCAAGTATTGCGATAAATTGCATCACAGAAAGCAAGTAGATTTTAAAAAGTTACATTTTTCAAAATAATAAATAAAAATCTCATATTTTCTGGATATTACAGTATAATATCTGTTGGTTGGCGTCCACATAACTAAAATCTAGAAATTCATACTTTATAAACATATATAGCCAGGTAAAATGCAACACCAATCTTTTTACTAAAACAGATCTGTTTACTCTCAAATGCCTAAAATTGTACAATATAGTCTCAAATTCATACAATACAGTATCTTAATAGTAAATAAATAAACAAATAAATAAACAAACGGTTTATATAATGTATACAATAACTACCCGCATCACGTGTCTAGTGGGATCGAGTTAAGCTGGCGTAAAAAAAAAAGGTAATTTCTAAAAGTAGATGACCAACAATTATATCTGCAGTCACTTTGTTTTGCAGATGTGTATTTACAATATATTAATTTATATTGAGTGAACATGCAGATCACATTATGA